ACCCAGCTGGGTTGCTTTGGGTTCCTCTCAGGGTAGTTTCCCAAGTCATCCCAAGATGGGGCCCTGGAGTCTTCACAACCTCTTGAGCAAGGCCCTCATCCTCAAGGCTCTTAATGGTGTGGCCTGAAGACTTTCTTGTGGTACCTACTGGCCTCCTCAGGCACTACCTTCCTTCCAGGGCATCGCGGCCTTCCTCTAGCCTAGAACACCCTGCTTGCCATTCTTCACTGGCTGAATGCATCTTTTGTTGACTTTTGGAGACAAGGTGTTGCTATGTAAACTAGGCTGGCCTCAAATTCACAGTCCTCTTGCCTCAGCCTCCTGAATGCTGGAATTATTAAAGATGTGTGCTACTATGCCTGGCAGAGCATGCCTCATCTCTTACCCAGTTTGAGCCAGCCTCCAGAACCCCTCACCATTTGTGTGGCTTGCAAGTTGCTTTGCCTTAATTTAAGGCATGGGGAGCACCCTGACTACTACCCTCCACTGGAGCACCACAATGTAGGTGTGTGGCACCTGCATCAGAGCATCCTGCAGCAGGCTGGCTCTGTCTCACCACCCCCACAGGACAGGCACCTGCCCAGGCGCCACTCAGTTTGTGACAGATGACAGACAAGACTAAATGACCCCCAGGAAGGCCCAGCGTTGCCAGGAAGGCGCCGGACACACCCCCTGGACAGGAAAATAGTTTCCTTCCTCTTAATAACAGTCATTAAGGGGCCTGTGCCACACACACACACTGCAGCCAGGGGCTGGGCTTGTGTCTGTCAAATGGTTCCCATGACCCTAGGCCAATATCTAGAGGCCCAGCCTCAAGGCCAAGATCCACCTATCTACCCTCTCATTGCCCTTTATCCACTCAGCCCATAGGGAGGTACATCTGGGTCTTACAGCCTTGAGGGACTAGGTTTAACTTACACTCTATTATTATCAGAATGTTAGGGCTTCCTGGGACCCTTGTCCCTTCCAACTCACCCTGCCCCTCTCAACTAAGTACATGCACACGGGCACGCACACACGCACGCATGCAATACTACACAGTCCAGAATTGAAATCGGGCTAATCCACTTCCCAGACACTCAGCAACCAAAGAGATCTTCACACAGACATGTACACACCAGCATGTAGGCAGATACTTCAAGACAGCCAAGCTGGTCCACAAACATTACAGATAGTGTGTACTAATACAATCTTGCACAGATATACTTCTGCATAGGTATGTATATATATTCAGCTGAATGATATGAAACTGCCAATATTCTGTAGGTTTTTTTACTTGAAAAAATGGAATCCACTACAAACTTTGGCATAGAGGGGAGTATACAAAAATACAAGCTGAACATGCTGATGCATGCCTGTAATCCCAGCACTTGGGAGGCACAATTAAGAAAGATCAGGAATATAAGGTCATCCTCAGATACACAGTGAATTTGAGACCAGCCTGGGCTACATGAGACCCCATTTCAATTAGTCAAAACAAATGAAAATGAGAAAATTTTATACTTCCATGTTGTTCAAGTGGCATTATTATAATAGCCAAAGCTATAAGCAATCCAAATACTTATCAGTGAATGGATGGATATCCAAAATATTATACACACATAAAACAGGAATAGCTTTGGAAATCCTGACACATTCTACAACACAGATGAAACTTGAGGACATCGTGTTAAGTGAACAAAGCTATTCACAAGAAGAAAAATTTGGCATGATTCCACCTAAATGAGGTCCCTAGGGTAATCAGATTCCTAGGGACAAAAAGTAGAGTGGTGGCTGCCAAGGGCTGGGGCAGAGAGGGAGAAATAGGGACTTACTGTTTTGTGCGTAGAGTTTTAGTTTTGCACCATGGTGAGTTTTGGACATGGAAAGCAGTAGTGGTGACACAATGCTATGGATGTACTTAATGGCACTGTGGTGAAAACTGTAAGGGTTTTCTCTTTAATTTATTTTGATTTTATGTGTAGAAGTGTATTGCCTGCATGTATGTAAGTGTACCCACATCATGTAATGTCTATGGAGGACAGAAAAGGGCAGCAGATCCTCTGGAACTAGAGTTACATGTGGTTGTAAGCTGCCATGTGGGTGCTAGGATTCAAACCTGGGTCTGCTGCAAGAGCAACCAATGCTCTTAACTGCTGAGCCATCTCTTCAGTTCCCCAAACTGTAAGTTTTATGTATATTTTACCACAAATAAAAGTAGAAAACAAGGGATCAGTGAGAGGGCTCAGCAGGTAAAGATGCTTGCCACTAAACCTGATGACCCAAAACACCTGAAATTCACACAGCAGAAGGAGAGAACCAACTCCCAAAAGTTGTCCTCTGACCTCTACATGCATGTCTTAGCACTTGACTACACACACACACACACACACACACACACACACAAAATAAATAAATGTAAAAAAGATACAGAGCCCAATATATGCACGAGTTATACCTGTGTACCAGAGATAAACACAATTAACTCAGCAACACACAAACCTGCCTACCTACCTCCTGGGAGCTGTTCTCCAATCCAGATAAGGCCCTGGTTCTCCCCTTCAAATGCATCTGGAGATAAGGTCCTAATGAGGGCTCTGTCACCTTTGCTGCCCCCATAGCTCATCACCCTCCCACAGTTTAACTTTGATTACCTAATATCTTACCACTTCTGTAGCTCACCCACCCCCAGGGAAAGGCCTCCTTAGAAGGCCACATGCTCTGATTTCTGCTCCTGTACTTGGGACTAATGGAAGCATTTCAAGTCTCAGTGTACGGCTCCCCATGTCTTTCCTGGGCCACTCACCCTCTGTATCCCATCTCCCAGCCACCCTCTTCAGACTCCCCATTCCCTGTGAAGTTCTGCTCTTTCAGAAGAGTCTATTCTGGGAATGAGCATAGATCAGATAAACCAAGTGCATATTGAACAGGGTATGTGAAGATGTGGCCGTGGTCCCCTGATTTCCCCACCATCTTCTTCATATCTCACTCCTCTGTAGGAAGGTGGTGACCATCCTGTTCCCTTCAGCCCCACTCTGTCACCATGTGAGCTGCCAACTGCTGACCCCTTCTCCAAAGCAAAGCCTTTCCCCACCCTCCTGAGCCCAGACCCACATACCCACCCTCTGAAACAATCTTTGACTATTCAGTCCTGGAGGAGAGGAGGAAGGCTATAGCTGGGCTCCCTTCAGGCCCAGAGCATCTCTGGAGTTGATTGTGCTAGAAATAGCACCTGGTTAAAACACTGGCTAAAAAGGCAAGTTCCAAGGCTTGGGATATGGCTCAGTGGATAAAATGCTTGCTTAGCTAATTCATGAAACCCTGGGTTAGAATCCCAGCACTGAATAAACTGGGCATGGTGATGTATGCCTGTAATCCTAGCACTCTGGAGATAGAGGCGGGAGGACCAGAAGTCAATGGTCATCCTTGGCTACATAATGAGTTTAAAGCCAGCCTGGGCTACATTATATCCTGTCTTAACAAAAATGGCAAGCTCCAGCCAGGAGCTCTTGCTCTTGCAGAGGACCCAGGTTCAGTTTGCAGCACTGACATGGCCCCTAACAACCATCTGTAATATATATAACTCCAGTTCCAGGGGATCTGATGCCCACATCTATGGGCATTGCACGACCTGGGTACACTTACATACGTACAGGCAATACACTCATCCACATAAACTAAAAATATGTGAGTTCAAGGCCAGTCTTGTCTACATAGTGAGTTCCAGGCCAGCTAGGGCTACAGGGAGGCCCTGTCTCAAAAAGACAAAACAATTTTTTTTAATGGCAAGCTCCAACTTATATGAAAATGTCCTTAAGAAACCCAGTACCATGTACAATGTATACCAATTAAAATATATTAATAGCTGGGTGTGGTGGCATACACCTTTAGTTCCAGCACTTGGGAGGCAGAGGCAGGTGGATCTCTGTGAGTTTGAGGCCAGCCTTTTTTTTATTCCCACATATATATATATATATGTATATATATATATGTATATATATATATGTATATATATATATATATATATATGTGTATATATATAATAAAATAGGGGAAAAGGCAAACTCTAGACTCTCAGACCTTCTAGCACATTTGGCATGTGTGCAGCCTAGAGGATATGTGTTTTAACACTTCCTGGCCATTCTTGAGGGCCAGAGTGAGGGCTCAAACTGCAGGTCCTGGGAGGATGGGCTCAGAGTTGGAGTGAGGATAGGACAGGGCGCCATAAACACTGTAGTTATGGTGGTGGGGAGGGTGATTATGGGAGCAGAGGCTCAGGTGGGATCAGATGGGAGTCAACCTCCTTGGCCCTGTTCAATCCTCCCTGGAAGTCTTATATGTGGACCAAGGCATGCATTACCTATTGTGGCACATTTGGGGCTTATTGCCAGTTTCTACATTAGTATTTGGTTCATTTTACATGTGTTTGATGAAATGTGTGATCTGTATCAGTCAGTAGTCTTACATCTGCATGTTGGTCAATGGTCAGTGTGTTAGCATATCTATCTGCCTGTGTGTTCTGTCTTTATTTGGGTGTCTTGAGTCATTCATTCACCATGGAGTGTGTGTGTGTGTGTGTGTGTGTGTGTATTGGTGCATCTCTGAGCAGCGCACCCTGTCCCCCTGGAGTGTAATCCAACCTCTGCAGGTCGAGGGAAGGTCAGGGTTGCTGACTTGCTAGAAGCCTGGTGGGATGTGGCTGTGGTGGGAGGGGAGGGAAGCCCTGCAACATCATGAGTTAAGGGCCTGGCACTGCCACTTCCTTGAGCAGGCGAGTCCCAACAGCAGGCAGACGGATGGGGCTGATCCAACAGGTTCCCAAGGCCAGGGGCAATGGGGCGGAGCATGGTTCTGATTTAGGGTGGCAACAGGTTGGGGGCCCTGCCACACATACACGGGGCTGGAGGGCTGGAGGTGGTTCTGTTGGTAACTTCCTGCTGCAGCCAACTCCTGTGCAAGCTATGGAGCCTGCCGGTGGGTAGGGCACTAGATGGAGAGACTCATTTAGAGGCCTAGGGCCTGGAGGGATCCGGGGCATGGCAGGACCCCTGCGGGGCCGGGTGGAGGAACTGAAGAGGCCGTGGTGGAGGGAGAGTTCACCTCTGGTGCTGCAGCACAGTGAAGCGGCTCGGCTGGCAGCCGATGCCCTCCTGGAGCGGGGTGAGGCTGCCTACCTGCAGGTCATCTCTGAAGAGCGGGAGCTGCCCTTCCTGAGTGCCCTGGATGTGGACTACATGATCAGCCATGTGCGTGGGGGCCCTGAGCTCAGTGAGGCCCAGGGGTCAGAGACTTTAGGACCTGATGGCCTCAGCCTGCTCTCTGAAGTTACCTCAGGCACCTACTTCCCCATGGCCTCTGACTTAGATCCCCCAGACCTGGACCTGGGCTGGCCTGAGGTTCCACAGGCCACAGGCTTCAGCCCCACCCAGGCAGTGGTACACTTCCAGAGGGACAAGGTTAAGAATATCAAGGACTTGCTTCGTTTCCTCTTCAGCCAGGCCCGTACGGTAAGGGCCTCACCTCTTCATTCATTTAAAATTTTTTTTTTTACTTTTAAAATTTTTATTATTTTTATTTTATGAGTGTATTGCCTGCATGTATATAAGTGCACCTGTGTCACGCAGTGCCCTCAGTTCAGAAGAGAGCGTCAGATCCCCTAGAATGGAGCCACGGATGGTTGTTAGCCACAATGTGGGTTCTGGCAATCAAATCAGGGTCCTCTTCAGATGCAGCCAGTGCTCTTAACCACTGAGCCATCTCTCCAGCCCCTCATTTCACAGATTTGGAAATAGGGGCTTTCAGAGAGAAAGGAACCAGCCCAAGGCTGCCCAGAGGCTTAAGGGCAGAAATGAGACTCTCTATTAGATCCCAGGCTGCTAAAAGGTAGGCAGGTGCTTTGTTTCCTTTGGTACCTTTTGGCACTCAAAAACATTACAGGTAAGCACCGAGCAGGGCATAGGCCTCTGGGACTTCACTCCACCCCTGGAAGTGCATGTGGAATTGTATATATTTTAGGGGGTGGTCCTTACTTCATCTTTATTGGGAGTGAATACTATGGCCTTCATCAGATTCTCAAAAAGTTTTATGAACCCTAAACTAAGATCTCAACCATGGATAACATCTGAGCGATGGCCTTGACTTACAGAGGAAGAAACAGGCCAGAGAGGGGTTGGAAGGAAATTGCCTAGGGAGGTTGTCAGGTTCTAGGAGAAATAAGGGATTTCTGGATCAGACCCCACATGGCTCTGCTTGCTGGTCACTTTGTCTCCAGCTGTACATCATGTTCCTGTGATGCCTCAGCAGCTGGGCCTGAAGCAGGATATTGGGTACTGGTACACAGGCTTTGGCCTGGACTGGCATTTTAGCTTGGTACCAAGTACAATTGAAGAGTAGAGGCTGCTGAGCTCAAGGGAAGGAGAAATGGAACACAGTTAGAGGTGGTCACACCTGGAAGTCCCCTGCCCCACAGCAGTATAACTTTGCTCCTGGAGCCTTGGCTCCTATTCAGAAGCCAGGGACTAGACATGATGATCTCTGGCACGATTTGAGATAGGAACAGACTCCTGCTGCAGAGATCAAGAGGTAGGATCATACCAGTACCTCCAGAGCCTGGCTAGCAAGCCTGCCTGTGCCCCAGGCACAGGGAAGGCTAGGCCTGATTGGCATCGGGAAAGGTGTTATTAGTGAGTTTGTTGCTGCTGTCATTCCTGTCCCTTTTTGATCTTTCCTGCCAGCCCCTTCCCACTCTAGCCAGACCAGTGCTATGGATTAGGGCATCCCCAGAGCCTTGTCTGCTCATATCCAATTAGACTTTCTGCCCCTGGGCTAGAAGTCAGGCTCCTGGGCTTGGCTGTTACTGATTCCCAAAATGGCCTGGATGTACTCCCTTTCTCTGCAGTCCAATGTTCTTATTTGCTAAGAACACAGCAGGAAGGGGGGTGGGGGTAGGGGAGTAAAAGGCAACAGGAAAGGGGAAAGACACATTTATTGAGCTTCTGTTGTGTGCCCAGCATTTTCTAATTTAATCCCTTGTAACTCCCAGATGCAGCTATTATTAACTCCATTTAGAGACAAGGACGCTGAGGTTCCAAAGGTGAAGCAACTTACCCAAGACTCTACTTCTAGGAAGTGGTGGAGTCTGGATTTGAACCCAGTTCCTTTTGATTCCAGAGCTGCATTGGTAGGCTCTGTCCCTCCCACTTCCAGGCCCTACCCAAGACAGAAGAATCTCACAGCAGATATGTCCAATAGGAAGAAGGGGCAGCTAGAGACGTTGGGAATGCTTTGTATATTGGGGGCATAAGCCCCAACCCTCAACTAAGTGGAAAACTTGGTTCCACTTGGCACACGTGGATATAAATGAGATTGTGAGTCTAAGGTGTCACATCAGACCTCTGTAGCTCCGTAGAGCAACCAAGGCAAGTTTGGCGAAGGACACTAAGGTCTCCCACACAGGCTTATGGCTCTCTTACTCTCAGGAGTGCCTCAGACATTCAGTCTCTGGGCCAGACCAGGGCTGGAGCTACTGAGAAATATGGGGAACCAGTTTGGGAACTGGGTTTGAGTCTGCTTCTAACTCCTGCCTTCTCTCACAAATGAAGTGGAGCTTCAGACTAACATAGTTGATCCAGAGACATCTTTGACATCATTTTTACAATCATAATTGTTTGTAAATCCAGTTCCAGGGGATCTGACACTCTCTTCTGTCCACTGAGGGCACCAGACACATGGTACACATATATGCATGCTGGCAAAATATTCATACATATAAAATAATTTTTTTAAAACCTCCAAGCTAAAGCAGGCATATGGTGGCACACTTCTGTAATCCCAATATTTGTGAGCCTGAGACAGGAAGCTTATAGTTAAGGACCAGCCTGGGTTAGGGATCTGACACTCTCTTCTGTCCACTGAGGGCACCAGACACATGGTACACATATATGCATGCTGGCAAAATATTCATACATATAAAATAATTTTTTTAAAACCTCCAAGCTAAAGCAGGCATATGGTGGCACACTTCTGTAATCCCAATATTTGTGAGCCTGAGACAGGAAGCTTATAGTTAAGGACCAGCCTGGGTTACTGTCACAAACACACACACACACACACACACACACACACACACACACACACAGAGACATTCACACATGAAACAAAGAAATAAGAAAACAGGTGTTCTTGAAGATCCTGGTATCCAGCCCCATTCTTTTCCTGGGTGGGCTGAACTTCCCCTCCCTCTCCCTCCACAGGTGGTGGCTGTGGTGATGGATGTATTCACTGACATGGAGCTCCTGTGTGACCTCATGGAGGCCTCAAGCCGACGTGGTGTTCCTGTCTACCTCCTCTTGGCCCAGGAGCACCTGAAGCACTTTCTGGAGATGTGTTATAAGATGGAACTCAACGGGGGGCACCTGCTGGTCAGTGTGGGCTAAGGGCTCAGCACATGGATGGAGGAGGGAATCAGGAGGGTGGAAGAGGCAGTTGGTGATGCATGAACATTAGGGGAGTCAGTGGGAGTTGAGCACAGGGTTCCCTTAGCTGTGTGAGGCCAGAGATCCCTTGGGACATAGACATGGCTTGACTCCACTTCCCTAAGGTCACCTTCCCAATTCTTCCCACCCTTGGTCCAGAACATGCGTGTGCGGAGCACATGTGGAGACACATACTGCAGCAAGGCAGGTCGCCGCTTCACCGGTCAGGCTCTGGAGAAGTTTGTCATCATCGACTGTGAGCAGGTGGTGGCGGGCAGCTACAGGTGAGCTGGTGAAGGGGAGGGAGCCTGTGCCTATGCCATGGGCTAGTAAGGACACCTCACATCTGCCCACTTTGAATTTCTTCCATCCATCCCTTCAAACATGACCTAAGCCCCTGCTGCTGTGTGCTAGGCACTGTGCAGGGCATGGGCTGGATGGGAGCAAGTCAGCCCTGGGGGACTCCACTCTACCGAATGCATAGAAAGTAACTACTACACATGGGAGGTGGAAGGACTTTGGGGAACCTCATTTCTGGTCATGCTTCCTTGGTTATAAAATTCCTGTTGAGCCCTGGACTCTGCACTTTGACTTCTGATCCTGACCCTCTGCCCCCAGCTTCACCTGGCTTTGCAGCCAGGCCCACACGAGCATGGTACTGCAGCTGAGGGGCCATATTGTAGAAGATTTTGATCGGGAGTTCCGCTGTCTGTATGCTGAATCACAGCCTGTGGAAGGCTTCTGTGGCAATGAGGATCCACTGTCTCCTCGGGTACCATGTCCTCCCCCAATGACCCTGGCCTTTGGGCCTGGTATCCCAAGTGCTACATGCTCCTCACCCTCCAGTAACAGCCTCAGCAGCATTAAGCGCTCACCTGTTCTGGGCCGCTCTTCCTACCTTGCTCTACCAGGAGGCGGTGGCTGCAGTGACACGGGTATGGGGTCCTCATCGCCAAGTCTTGCCCGGTGTGAAACTGGTGGTCAGCCTTCCCTGCACCGTCAGCTTTCAGATCCTAACCATGGCTCCCGTCCTAGTCCCTACAGGGCCAACCTGAGCAAGCTGGGAGCATCTCTATGGTCTCAGTCATCCCCTGCCCTCAACCAGAGTGGTGCTAATCCCTTGACCCTGGCAGTGGGGTCACCTCTGCTCCCATGCTCCCGCCCCCTCCTCCACTTTACCCGGGGGATCCCAGCTCTGTCCCGGCTCCCAGAGAATGGGCTTCCTGGAAGCCAGGAGCCCAGCCTCCCACGAGGTCGCTGGATACCTGGCACAGCCCTGGAGACAGTGGAAGAGAAGAAGGCATCTCTGAGTCAAAGCCACTATCAATTGGACCGGCTTGTCCTCTTCCCTAAGGCAGGTGAATCAGGAGGCCCAGACTCTGGGGTTACCCCCAACACAGGTTCCCTTCAGTGTGGTCAGCAGGTCCTAGATGACAGGAGGCTGTCCCTGAGCCAGAGCTACAGCCAGCTGGATCTCCTGTCCAGGGGCCAGGATGCCCCTGAGTCAGGTTCCCTCAGACCTGGTGATCTGGGTCTAGAAGACAGGAGGCTGTCTTTAAACCATAGCCATAGCCAACTGGACCTTCTCGCACAAAACCCCAAAGCCCAGGGCTCTAAAATGCTACCTGAATCCAACTCCTCTGCTAGGCCTGGCAAGCAGGGTCTAGATGAATGGCAGCAGACCCTAGGCCACAGTCAGCTGGACCTCATCACCAAGTATGGCCCATTCCGGAGTGAGGGGCCTGGAACCAATGGTCTCCCAGGACCAAGCCCAGTTCGCATGGCTGGAGTGGGCTCTGCAGATGAGAAGCGGCTGACTCTGGGCCATGCCTCTTGTTGGGATATAGTTATAATTATTTCTCCTCTTTTATAAGTATTGGAACTGAAGTCCAGAGAGTGTGGATGGTTAATTTGGAGGCAGGTCTGATTAAATAGCTGTTAGGAAACTCTGCCAGTCCTGTGTCCTCTGGCTCTAAAAACTGTGTTTTGTTTGCAGCCATGACATACAGTATCAGCAGTTCCCATGTCTCTATGTACACAAAATATGAACACTACACTAGATGACAGGAGGCTGTCCCTGAGCCAGAGCTACAGCCAGCTGGATCTCCTGTCCAGGGGCCAGGATGCCCCTGAGTCAGGTTCCCTCAGACCTGGTGATCTGGGTCTAGAAGACAGGAGGCTGTCTTTAAACCATAGCCATAGCCAACTGGACCTTCTGGCACAAAACCCCAAAGCCCTACAAAGGTTCCCCAAATGCCCATACAGTATACACAGAACAGTGACTGGCTATACTCATAGATGCATTCAGTAAGTACACATAGGTCTGTGTGATTAAGTCAAACAGACCTTTAGTTGCAGATCCTTCCTCCATTCACTAAGAATTGGCATGCTCAGGTGTGAGACTGTGGCATCAGAGTATGAAGCTGGGGCTGCTTGGGGAGGGGAGGCATCTAGAAGGCCAGGTCAGATACTCCCTGGGCTCAAGATTCTTTTGAGAGAGAGAGAGAGAGAGAGAGAGAGAGAGAGAGAGAGAGAGAGAACCCAGAGTTATTGAGTGTTTATTATATGCTACTGTGCTGGGCATTTCACACCAGTTATCTTCAATAAATGTTGTCTGGCTAAATGAATGGTGATATAAAATACATGCATTAAGTGCACACTACAGATCCCCCTCAAAGTCCATAAATTATAAATACATGCATGACCCCCATACTAACACTTCCTATGTTCCCAGCCATGCCCTGCACATGCCATAGGGCTGAAAGATGAATTAGACTCAGACCTTGAGGGATGCAAATTAAATGTAAAAACCACTGAAGAGTAAGATGGATGTGTAGCAAATCAAAGTTTAACAAGGAACAGAGGTGGGTAGGTCATGGAAATGGTGCAGTGGTCAGGAAAGTTTATGTGAAAGAAGTCAACTTTGAAGCAGCTTGAAAGATAGGGGCTAGAGGAGAGGCAGATGGAGGAGAGAGTTTTCTTGGTAGAGTAAGCCAGATAAAGACAGTTTAGTGAGCAGTTCTGGGGTGAACTGGGGAAGACAGAGCATGTGGATTCTCAGACACATATATGCATACATACACATCATCTTGCTGAATGTCTCATCAAGCACAGGCTGCAGCTGTTTGTTGCCCCCCCCCACCCCCCCTCGCCCTGGGCTCAACACCTCCCTGGGACAGTACATGATACAACTCAATAAAGACAGATATGGTTAGACCCAGCAGCAGCCTGGTGTATTCTAAATTATGGATCTGCATGATAGGGTTGGGAAAAGGGCCTTTTATTTTCCTTCAGAATAGGGAGTTCATTAGAGAAGAGTGAATGGTTCAAAGAGGGCTTAAGGTAAGTGGTTCTAAGCTCCTTCTGCCTTCACTGGGGCCTTCTGAGACATCCTGAGGGCTTCTGTAGATTCTACAAATATGAGCCAAGTTCATCCTATGAGCACAGAGCCTTTGGTCCATACCACTATCCCTGGGCAGAAGGTGGCTGCTGAGGAAGTGGTTATGTGTGAGAAGCACATCGTGGAAGCCAGTCAGCCTTCGCATCCTTCCTCTCCAACCGATGCCTAAAATCCTGCTTCACACATGCACCTCTCTCCAGTACCTTCTTCTGCCTCGCTATGCTTCTCTGGCTGTGCCTCTTCCTCTAGCCACTTTGTCCTGGTCTCACCTCTCCCTACTGCACACTCTCCTGGGTGGTCTCATTCACCCCAGGCTTCAGTTCCAAGTATCAATCCTCAGCCCTTGACTCTTGCTTCTGCTCCGGATCTGCATGGCCGAACTGAGATCATCTCCTTTTCCAAACCTCTCTTATCCGTCTTCCCTTCAGTAAATACCTCCATCATTAATCCATCTTCTGCATGACATCCCTGGTTCCTCCCCCCATGTCTCCCATCCAACCAGCGACAGGTCTGGCTGATCACGCTTCCTAAAAAGCTCCACTAGAAAGCCTAACTTGCGCGCTTGGAGCGGGGATAGGCGGGGCCAGTTGATGCTGGGCGGAGCCAAGGCCGAGGCCAGCCGATTGGCCACCACAGAGTCCTCCCAAAGCGTGGGGCTAGAGTGGCCACACGCGAGGCTCGGCTTCCGGAAGCCGACCTGGGAGGAGGCGGAAACAGAGAACTTGTTACGGGAGAAGGGGGAAGTTGTTGCAGCGTGTGGAGAAGTAGAGTCGTTTGGTGAGCTGGTGGGAAGGGGGGCGGAGAGGGTCAGTTTCGGGCCCAGGGGTGGGCGAGGCCGGGGCCGGCGGACTTGGGGCCTGAGAGCCCAGGGGGCGCGAAGCCCGAGTTGAGGCTCCTGAGCGGCCTTATCTGCCCCGCACTGCCGGGCGCCTAGCCCTTAGGTTTCCTTCATGGCGGTGCGAGCGTCTTTCGAGAACAACTGTGAGATCGGTTGCTTTGCCAAGCTCACTAACTCCTACTGCCTGGTGGCCATCGGAGGGTCGGAGAACTTCTACAGGTGAGGAGAGGGCGGCGGGAGAGAGGCCGGGGGCACGCGGTTGGGTACCGCGGGAGCCCGCAGCCACCCGGCCCCTGTACCCGCAGCGTGTTCGAGGGCGAGCTCTCCGAGACCATCCCTGTGGTGCACGCATCTATCGCGGGCTGCAGAATCATCGGGCGCATGTGCGTGGGTAAGCAGGCGGGGTCTCCGGGGAGCATCTAGAATCATTAAGTCCTGGAGGCCTGCGTGGTCGGGTTTTCCAGCATTTGCGTGTACTTTGGAGTCTTGTCAGGGCGGCTGCAGTTCACAACAACCCCTGGCAAAGGCTCTCGGGAGTAGTCCTGACAAAGTCATGTCGAAAGCTTTCGTTCTTGGTCTCGTTCTGCTTCATCACAGTGACATTGGAAAGTGAGCATTGTCCTAATTTGACTGTTGAGGAAACTGACAATGGTGTGTGACTCACCAAGAACGATGTTCCACACCTAGGGTGGAGGAGGATTTGAATCTCATGTCTTTTCTGATTAGTAAAATAACTGGCTGAAGTTCCAGGTCATCCTGTTCGCCTATATTTGAATCATAGGCGAACAGAATGACCTGGAACCTCATCCAGGTTGTCATCCTTACTCCTTGACTGCTCACCACTGTTGACTGGTCTTCGGTCTTATGCTGGCTTTAACCTCACTCTCTGAAAATGACCTGGAACTTGTGATCCTCCTGCCTCCACCTCCCAAGTGCTGGGATTAATAGGTGTGTGCCACCATGCCCAACCATTCTGTATACCAATTACTACCCTTTAGTTCTGTGTATTAGGGTTAGTAAGGCCTTTATTTACCTAAAAAAATAGGTATTTTCTGATATATTTCAGTATTCTAATCTCAAACAGAACATCCTGATCTCCAATCATCCCCTTAGGACATGAAGCAAAAATCTGACCTGACATGGGTGATTTTAGCCTGGTTTAATGAAAGTAACTTGAGATTCGGAGGTTTTAATTTTAGCTCTTAAGGACAGGCAGAAGCTTTAGTCTTGTTTGTCATAATGTAATGTGGTTTGTTCATTCATGTGTGTTTCATAAAAATATATCACAGTGTATTCATTCTGATAATAGTGAGCAGTTAGGAAATTTTCAGTAGGAGTACTACTGCTGTGTGAATGTGAACATAGGTAACATATTTCCTCAAGTGGAATGACATAGTCACAGAGTCTGTGACCATTTAGTGTAATAGATGATAATCAGATAATTATCTGTCTGAAGTAGGTGTCCACTTCACACTGTCAGCATAGGAGAGTTTTGGTTGCTTCACACTTTATTGTTACTGATACTGATGATTCTTTAAAAATTTTTTTAGCCATTCTGGTAGGTGTGTAAATGTGTTAGGTGGATTTTGAATAGTAAAGCATACTAATGCCAAGAGCCCGCCCTGCTAGTTCTTTCCCCCCAGTTGACAATGGTGAGGTGGACAGAGTTTGTTGGGACAGATTGTTGAGCCATTGGGGGCCTTTCCAAGGGACCCCTGGTTTATATATGAATCCATAGGTGGGTGGGTGGGGTCTGAGGTAGAGGCTGTCCTGTGAAAGCTAAAGTCCTGGGCTGGACTGGGAGGTATCCTTAGTCTTTGGGCCCAGGAATCATCTCCTATGTTCATAGTTTGTCTTTATTCCACCTCCAATTTTGTTCCTCCAGGCAATAGGCATGGGCTACTGGTACCCAACAACACCACTGACCAGGAGCTGCAGCACATTCGCAATAGCCTTCCAGACTCAGTGCAGATACGGCGGGTAGAGGAGCGATTCTCAGCCCTCGGCAATGTCACCACCTGCAATGACTATGTGGCCTTGATCCACCCAGACCTGGATAGGGTGAGGCAGGCCAACTTGGCCCAGAAGTTATAGGACTAGCCTAGTCAGTGGTTAGTCATTATTCTTTTCCCAAGGCAGGAAGTAGGGATTTCATTTGTGGCTTCTCTCTGTATTTGGGCACTCTTGATTTCATGCTTTTGTAGGAATAAGAATTTGTGTGTCAGTGTTAGAAGCTAGGGAGGCATTCACCATTCAGGGTTAAGGAGATTAACCTATCCAGTCCTGAGGCATGGGCCAGGATAGATGGTTGACAGTTGAACTGGAGTGTGGATTAGAGCAAAGAAGGTGACATGGAGGCAAGGCTCAAGTTTTTCAGGGCTTACCTAGGTCTTAGGGACTCCAGGCAATGGCCTAGATGCTGAGCTGTGCTCACTTCTTTCTCAGTGAGGCTTCCATATGCAGGTATGTAGTAAAGAAATAAGGGGCTATCCAGGTGTGGTGGCGCTCGCCTTTAATTCCAGCACTCGGGAGGCAGAGGCAGGTGGATCTATGTGAGATTGAGGCCAGCATGGTTGACATAGCAAGTTCCAGGCCAGCTTGAGCTACAGGGAGACCTGGTGTCAAAAAAGACCAAAAAAAAGGAAAGTAAAGAAAAAGGGGGAAAAAAATGAGGGGCTTAGGGAACCAAGTCCTGAATGGTTGTTGCTCATAGTCCCTAGATCGTTGGCCTATGTTCTAGACCTTTGACACAGTAGTACCTTTGGCCAACAGGAGACAGAAGAAATCCTGGCTGATGTGCTCAAGGTGGAAGTCTTCAGACAGACAGTTGCTGACCAGGCGTTAGTAGGAAGCTACTGTGTCTTCAGTAATCAAGGAGGTCTGTTGCACCCTAAGACTTCAATCGAAGACCAGGATGAGCTGTCTTCTCTTCTCCAGGTCCCCCTTGTGGTAAGCTTTCCTGCTCTCTGATCCCTGTCCACTGAGGCTCATCCCTTTGGTCAGTGCTGGGGGATTTGGGTCATTACCTTCCCTAGTTTGGGATTGGGACTGTGAATCATGGAAGAGACTTTGGGGAAGAGTTCTCATTGGGGAGGCAACAAAATTTGAGTTTTGGTGCTATGACCCATGCTGAGCCCGTCCTGCAGGCAGGCACTGTGAACCGAGGAAGTGAGGTGATTGCTGCTGGGATGGTGGTGAATGATTGGTGTGCCTTCTGTGGTCTGGACACAACCAGCACAGAGCTGTCAGTGGTGGAGAGCGTCTTTAAGCTGAATGAAGCCCAGCCTAGCACCATTGCTACCAGCATGCGGGATTCCCTTATTGACAGGTATCAGGGGCCCTGGCATGGATTCGCTTTGCATTTGAGGGTAGAGGAAGAGGAATCAACATAGCCACATTGTGTTTGTACTGGGAGGTTCTCTCCAGGTGTGAGTGAATCTGTATACTGCCATAGAGTTGTAAACAATACTTCCATCTGCTCACACTCAGTCATCTTCTAAGACTGAGCTGTCTAGGCACATCTTTCCTATGATCCATCTTACTCATTGATTACTGACTGTATTTTGCAGTTTGTATTTGCCTCTGTGTCAATATCCTTAGGGAGTAGCCCAGGAACTGAAACAGAAAGGAACTGTTGGCTAGGAAAGGTGAGGAGGCTACTCAAACACTACAGAACCCCAGTAGCTAAGGGTGCTCTCAAATGATTTAGAGGTGAGTATTGATCAGAATCACAGCCTGGATTGTTATTTTAACATTTATTTATTGGGGTGGGGGAAAGGGGTACACACATGCCTTGGAGAGCATGTGAAGGTCAGAGAACAACTTGTAAGAGTTGGTTTTTCTCCTACTACCGTTTGGGTTCTGGGGCTCAAACTCAGATCATCAGGTTTGGTGACAAGTGTCTTTACCCACTGAGCATCTCACTATTGCCTCCTCACAGTCTGGAATTTTGTGGGTTTAAAAAAAAACGTGCAAGCTGGGCATGGTGGTGCATGCCTGTAATTACAGCACTTGGATCGGGGGCAGAAGTAAGTGGATCTCTGTGAGTTCCGGGCCATTTGAGGCTCCAGGGAGACCCAGTCTCAAAAAACAAAACAAACCAACAACAGATCCCCCCAAACCAAGCAACAGGGTATGCTATAGTCCCATCACTTGCTTGGGAGGTTGGAACACTAACCTTAGAGATTGTGAAGTATGAGCCTTTTAAATCTTCTCTGGAAGAGCAGCAGGCGCTGGGTAGTTCAGCCTTGTTTCTCTCATCCTGTCAATGACATTAAGTCATGCCATGTCCAACCAGCACAGGAACCTCTATGAGGATAGAAATTCTAAAATAGAGCAAGTGCCAAGTGACAGGTCCTTTGCTTACCATGGATAGACTTTCCCTTTATTTGATTGCATTTGTTTGCCTTAGTTTATTGATTCCTGTGGGTAAGACTCCATGAGGGATAGTCAGGCAGTATAGTTCTATATCCTGCCTCTGAGGGGTTCACAGTGTATTAGGGGAGATATAGTTAGCATATGTAACATTTAGCTGTTTTCAAAGGAGGAATAAAAGGTGCCTTAATTTCCTCATATGGGTATCTTGGGAAACTGGTGAGAAATTTTGGATCAGGGATATTTCATGAAGGGCACTTAGTCTGGCTTCAGGAAATGAGTTGTAGGTATTTAAATATGGACAGACCAGTGGGGAAGAACCTGAGATACAGAGATGGGAAACTATATGAAGGATAAAAGTAGTATTCCCAGAGTGCTGAGGCCTTTTTAAATGCCCATATCAAAAAGTTTTGACTCAGCCTAAGGTTTTGAGCTTAGTTTATGTTGGGTTGGTTGTTTATATAGATTCCTACTGTAATCTCAGGGAATTCTGATTCTCTAGGTCTGGGATAGAGTCCAATTCTGTGTTTCTTTTGTTTCTGTTTGTTTGAGATTGTCATTTATGTGTAAGCCCAGGCTGGCCTTGTGCTGGGATTATAGGTGTGTGCTACCACAACTGGCTATGTGAGTTTTAAAAATAAGCTACTGTAGGAGAGTTTGTTGGGGACATTCTGGGAATCACCCTGATTAACACTGCTGTCAGTGCTGGTGAACAATTGAAAGATGCACTCTAGGCAGGTACTGTACTATTGAGTCACACCTTCAGCCTAAAAAAGTTCTTGTTCTAAAACTTTCTATGTGCCAGACAATAGTAGTGTGATGAACAAAAGTCAGGTGGAATTGCTAGTCGTTGGATATGTTCCTGGTAGCCCTTGCCTGTGTTGTTAGGTAATAGGAATGGGTACTAGAAAGGGAGAGTAAGTATTTTGGGGCTGGAGAGATGGCTTAGTGGTTAAGAACACTGGTTCTTGCAGAAGACCTGGGTTCAAATCCCAGTACCCACATGGCAGCTAACAACTGTGCGTAACTCCAGTCGCAGGGGACCCGACAGCCTCTTCTGACCTCCATGGGCATTGCATGACACGGGTGCACTTACCTACATGCAGGCAATACACGCATACACATAAAATAAAAATAATTAAAAAAAAAAAGTATTTCATGGGGCTGGAAAGATGGCTCAGTGGGTAAAGTGTAAGCAATGAGGGTCTCAGTTTAGATTCCCGGGATGCATGTGTGTACCAGCTGGGTGCAGTGGCATGTCTATTACCCCAGTGCCGAGGGTGGAGATAGCAGATCCTGGGCTCACTAGCCAGGCAGTCTCTAGCAGAGAATGATGAGCTCCAAGTTCAGTAAGAGACCTTGTCTGAAAAAATTAGGTGGAGAAGCGGTAGAGAGATCCTAGCATCAATCTCTGTGTGTGCCTGCACTAGCAAGTGTACCTCCACACCCATGCACACAAAATCATTATTTCAGTTTTATTATTAGGCATGTGATTATCACCTGTAGTAAGAATGTTTTCACTTAATCCTTACAGAGAAGATCTGTTTTCTAGCTAGTATTTGAGGCTTTTTGTATTAGCAGTAAGAGAGTTTCTGGAAAGGGAGGCCAAAGTTCTGGCTGCACCCTGGCCACTGGGAGGCTTGTGGTCTGGTATATCCTTTCTTCTCATTGACTCTTCTTGCTCCTCTAATGGTCTGAGGCTCCAGTTTAAGATCAGGAACTGAATAAACTAAAGAAAGGTGGCCTGCCTGAGTGAGGAAATAGTTACTTTTACTTTTTTTTAGTCTTTGAGACAGAGTCTCCCTGTAGTCCCAGCTGTCCTGGAACTCGCTGTGTAGACCAGGCTAGCCTCAAACTCACAAAGATCCGCCTGCCTCTGCCTCCCAAGTGCTGGGTTTAAAGGTGTGCGCCACCACGCCTGGCCTTTACTTTTTAAGCATGGAGAATTTTAGATTGGACCTTGATGTGTAGGATAGAGTCAGGCCTGGAACCTGGGTGGGCCAGGTGGAGCTCTGGGTGTGGCTTTTCAGAACTGAACTAGAACAGAAGTCCAGGGGTGGGCACTCTGAACTCTGTGAAACAACTACTGATAATGCTTCTTCTTTCCTCCTCAGCCTCACATGAGTCACAAGCAGTTGTGTGGGCTCCTGCCTCTGGACTTTGGCTCATTTTTCTATGCCAGAGCTCATCCAGACCAGATGTTGGCAGCAAGGTGTGGCAGAGAGCTCACTAGTGCTGAATGGTTGGGTGCCTGGCCCTTCTTCACCTGTGCCAGTTCTTGAATCTGTTGTTCCCAGAAGCCTGCCATGTCATGCTGGCTGTCAGTTTGTGTTGCCCCAGGAGGATGAGAGTTCTGCTGTCCTGTGCCTCACCCCATTAAAGAGCAGCTGCCTCCCACCATTCTCAGTGTGGTGTTTGTGGGCCTGTTTTACAACTTCTGTCCCAGTTGCTCCAGGGTCATGGAAAAGTTGGGTGGAATTGACACACTGCATTCCCTCATCAAGATGGGAGAACTTGGGGCTGGAGAGACGGCTCAGCGGTTAACAGCATGTTTACTCTCTTCTAGAGGTCCCAGGTTTGGTTCTCAGCCCTCATATGGTGCTTAACACCCATCCTTAACTCCAGGGGATCCAACAGCCTCTTGCATCCATGGACACTAGGTATGCATGTGGTACACTTATATACATGCAGGCAAAACACTCATAAAATCTAGAAATAAAATAAGTCAGGTGTGGTGGCGCATGCCTTTAATCCCAGCACTTGGGAGGCAGAGACAGAGGCAGGCAGATCTCTGAGTTCAAGGCCAGCCTGGTCTACGTAACGAGTTCCAGGGCAGCTGGGGCTACAGGGAGACCCTGTCTCAAAAACATACATAATAAATAAATAAGTTGGGTGTGATGGTGCACATCTTTAATCCCAGCACTTGGGACGCTACAGAGGGACCCTGTCTCAAAAAGACACCCCCCCCCCAAAAAAAATGGAGAACTTGGGGCTGGAGAGATGGCTTAGCCAAGAGCACTGGTTGATCTCACAGAGGACCCAGGTCCAGTTCCTAGTACTTAACATGTAACTCCAGTTCCAGGGAAGCAGATACCCTCTTCTGACCTCTGTGGGACCAGGCACACACACATAAAGGAATTTTTAAAAAAGATCCTACTTGCTGGGTGGGTAGCATGCCTTTAATCCCAGCACTTGGGAGGCAGAAGCAGGCGGATCTATGTGAGTTCCAGGCCAGCCTGGTCTCCATAATGAATCCAGGCCAGCTGTGGCTACAGGGAAACCCTGTCTCAAAAAAAAAAAAAAACCTCCACACTTTCCACTATAGTCCCATTTGTAAGCCAGTTTCTACCTGGGTCTTCAGAGAATGGGAATCTGGTCCACTCTCCCTGCTAGGGTGAGAATCCTGTTCTGGCTCCTAGGCGTCCAGCTTCAGGGCATTCTGCCTTGTCTGCGCTGGGGGGGCTGGGGTGGCAGCTTTTGCTTCCAGGCCCCTCCCAGGCCTCCTGTGGGTGAGAAGGGTGCCCAGTGCCCCTCGGGCGGCTGGGGCCTGGGGCTGTGGGCGGAGCTGGTTCTGTTCACTGGCCCGCCCTCCGTGCGGGTCCCTCCCTCCACGGGCTTGGCTGCTGCGTCATAACGCAACGTTGCTCCTCCCGAGGCCTGGCTGGTTCCGGCACGCTTCCCCTGCTCCCAGAGGTGAGGGAGGGCGGGCAGAGTGGTGGCGGTGGGTGGGGTGACCTGGGCTGGCCTGACGCCCTGTGGGCTTGTGTCCTGCAGGCCATGGGCGCTCTGCTGAGCGGTGGTCCGGATGGCCCGCAGCCCGCGCAACCCGCGCAACCCCAGCCGCCGGCGCCCGAAGCCCCGCAGCGGCCTCAGCCCGAGCCCGGCTGGTGGAGGCCGCTGGACGACGTGCGCTTTCTAATCGCCTGCACCCCCTGGTACTGACACGGCCGCCCCGGCTTCCGTGCCCTCTTTGGCCTGGCCAGCTTTTGTTTTCTCACCCCTATAACCCCGTCACTCTGGACAAAGAATCAAGAAAGGTGGAGACTGGAAGTCCTGGCTCCAATCTCGAACCTGTTCCCTCCCCCACCAGCCCCTAAACCCAGCTCAGACCTTTGTGCTCACCTCTAAGCCCCTCTCCAGCAGTGTCCTGGGGCAGCCTGTGTGACCCTGCCGTACTCAGAAGGTGGTTGCTCCCCGGCCTTTGGGAGAGGGGACATCTGATTGCTGGATGGAAGATGCATGAGGCAGTTAATTCCAGGACACCCCAAGCATCCTTTTTCTCCCAGAAACTTAAGAGCACTCTTAGACTCCGGTCTTTGTTCCCACAACCCATGAAAAAGACACACTCTGTATTTCTGTTTTATTTAGAAATGATTTAAAAAACATTATACAAAGGCTGATCAGTTTAAAATGTGACCGACACTGAAATGCTGTGATGTCCCCCAGGCTGAGGGAAAACTGAGCTGGGGGGCCCCCATAGCTTTGCCCCTCTGACTGCTCTGACCTGGGGTGATGGACAAACAGATGACTGCAGGCAGAGAATCCAAGATTGGAAGCCTCCAGGCTGAGCCCTCTCTGGGCCTGGCCCTGCATCCCTCACATCTGCAGCCTGGGCTGCCTGCCTCCATCTCCTGCTCTTTCTCAGCTGGCCTGTACCAGGAGCCAACAGGGAGCCTGCGGGGCCTAGAGCTTTCAAGAAGTAAGAGCACCAACCTGAGGAAAGGGACCAGGAAGTGAGGCCAGGAAGAGAGGAGTAGAGAGACATTGATCTCAGACCCTAGAAGGGCCCACAGATGGGAACTCAAGACCCAGCCAGGCCACTGGATGGCAGGGGCAAATAACAAGACCCCCCTGTGCTTCAACTGAGGGCAAGATGAGAGTTGCCTCAGCCTCCCAGGGCCTACAGAGTTTCATGTGAGTGGACAGATGTGAGCTAATAAAGTGCTTTGCAAAGTATAAAACACTGTACAAACCTATGAATCACTAAATCTCTGCAGTTGTTCCCTGCCTGCCCCAGGGAGCCTGCCCTTGGCCAAAATGAGAAAAACAGGATGATGATGACAGGGGACACAGTGGACCCACGTAGATGCTTCTGGGACAAGAGACTTTACAGTTCCCAAGGCAGCAGGGGTCCCTGTCTGTGCTACAGGGTAAGCCGACCCAAAACCCAGAGGCCACAGGGTGGGAGCGAGGTCCATGCAGGCTCAGAGGGCAGGGTTGGCATCTTAGTCCCTGCTAGCACCCTGAAGACTGCCTGACACCACTTTTGGGCTTTGGCAGAGAGCCAGTGAACATCACTGTACCCATTGGTCTTGACGCCTAGGGTTTCTCAGCAACAAGCATGGCTATCAGATTGGTGCAAGTCAAGCTGAGACCTAGGAACTTCTGCCAGATGTGAAAGGGGCCCCCAGAGGTCAAAAAGGGAAGTCCCTAGGCTTGGGGCTATTCCCAGCCGGGGAGTACCCTTTTACTAAGAGCAATGCAGGAAGATGGGCCCAGTGAGCTGGGCTGCCAGGGTCAAGATTGGAGCATAAACACTCTCCAGACTTGAGTTGCCTTAGGGTTGCTGGGCATGTGAATGGAGTACTTAAAAGGCTGCCCTGGTTCCCTTACTCTGAGCCCATGACAGGGATGGCTCTATAGCCACATCTGCTTCATCTAACTGGTCAGGCTGAGTCCCCAGGCTGCAAAGGACAGACTGGAACAGGGCTGGGGACAGCATTAATGGAAGGGAAGTAGAGAATGGTCACAAACTTGGATCGGCCTCTAGAAACAGGTTCAGCTCCTGCCCCACTCTTGAACCTCATTGACAGGACCCCAGCTTGTATCAGGGTGCTGGAGTGGCTTTAGCAGCACCTTGGTCCTTAGTGCTTGGGGAAGGACCAACATACTGACCTCATCACCAAGACAGTCAACCTCTAATTGACCTAAAGCCTCAAGTATCCTTTGCAAAATGGAACTTTAAACAGTAGTGATAGGATATTTAAATATTCACGACATGACAGCCGGGTCCTTGTCCGACCAGCGGGGCCACAGCCCTGCCTGCAGCATGTGACCCTAAATCCTGGGTCTCAAAGGAGACCTGACAAATGGAGCAGGTTTCCTGAGGGATCTGCTGTTTGTCAGCTGGAGAAACCCAATCTTGTTGCCCACTGTGTTGGCAACAGGAGTACTGCAGCCTTGGAGGATAGTGGGGTAGGGGTGAGGGGACATCTGACCAGCAGGTGTTGGCAGAAGGGGACTGGGACTGGTGGCATCTCCCAGATGGGGGATGAGAGCTAGTGCTGGTTTGCCACAGAGGGTGCTGGGTCCCAGCCACGACGAGCTGTGGTGCCTCATGGATACCACAGGATGCAGTGACCTCAGGGGCTTCTTCTGGCATGATCCCTGCCTCCTGATGGGGCCTGGCATATTCCCTTGAGTAGAGAGTTTTACCCAGGACAGAAGGCTGGCAGCTGGGTGCCAGACACCCACCCGGGGCATAGCCACCATCACTCCCTGCCTCACACTCAGCCTAGACCAATGCACCCACCACTTCAGCTATACGAACCTGGCCTAGGGCCCTACTGGCCCCAGTGGGCAGTGGCTAGAGCTGCCTCTCAGACCCTGGTGAGGAAGGGTCTGGCTGGCCAGACCAGGTGGACAGAGAGGGCTCTGGGCTGCTCACACCCACTCCTGGACTGGCCGCTTATAGTAGGTGACAGGCTGAGGGCCTGCCTTGTTCTTGAACTGGAAGATAGTGTAGACCAGCACCAGGATGCAAAGGGACAGGATGCAGGGAATGACCACGGCCACAGCATTCACAGAGCCTGGCACATCATTGATGGTCACCATGATGTCCACATCATCCTGGGGCAGCCGCCGCTCCTTGCGTCGCTCCACCTCCTTCTGGTTGCAGCCCATCCAGTCACGCAGGATGTTGCGTGGGTAGCCTGGCTCCACACTCAGTTTCTGGTTGTCAAACTTCCAGTAGTCCCGACCTTTGTAGAAGTAGGTATAATCTGCGGAAGTGGGAAGGGCTCAGCATCACCACTGCAAGACACTTCACGGTATGTGTTCTGGACCAGTACGGGCACAGGGTGCTATGGCAGTGTGCAGTAGGGGAGCTCTGAGGGACAAGTAGCATGTTAGGTGGAGGGAGTGTCTTGTTGGAATCATAGTGATGGGATGAGTGCAGTGCTTGAGTAGCCAACACAACTGCAGAGAGGGGCACCTGGGATGCGGAGCCTATTAGTTCAAAGTCTATTAGTTCAAAAGTGCTGGGAAAACCCTGAGGGGCTTTAAGTAGAGCTGGCAAATGGTTCAATTTGTATTGCACAGATAGGACCATTTTAGCCTTGAAACAGCTCTTTGCACTGTGTCTCTAGGGTCCCTACAAGGGTCAGATCAAGCTCCCTACTTAAGATTTGTACAGCACAGTCTCCATAGCTCTAGAGCCTCAGTCCAGCTCCTGTCCCAGCCAGTGTAGGCAGAGAGCAGGATTTCTGTTAACAGCAGATACCACCTCTCCAAAATTAACAATGGCTTGGCATATATCACTTTGCAGAACAGATACAAGGTCTTTAGGACCCTTCTAGTGGGGAGGGTGGAAGGCAAGGAGGCACGCAGACTGGGCAGCTCTGCCAGTTACTTCTTGGGCAGCTACCTGAAGGTTCACAACAACAGCCTTAGCAACCCAGCCAGTCTTCAGCTGGCAAAGCAACTCATTTAAACTCTCCTCATTGGCTGGCTCCCCACCCTGGCTTGGACTTTCATTGGTCAGAGTCCTTGATGACACCTGTCTCTGAGGCTCTCCAAAGAGGGAGACCATGTATGTAAAGCATCCAGTCTATCAGTCAGCCAACAAAAAGCAGTTTTGCCCCCATGGCTTTCTGTGCAGTGATGTGTCCTCTGTCTACTTTATTTCCCTTCTGACTTTTAAGTGAATGAGTGAATCCTTTCATTTGACATTAATGGAAACACTAACAAGATGATAGCAGCTAAAACTTTTACATAGCATAGACCATATCCTAGACTTTATGCTAGCTACATGCTCTTTGTAACTTCCTTAACCATCACAAAGCCATTACATAAAGGTAAATGCTGTTATTCTCATTTTGTGGATGAGGAGAATGAGGAAAGTTAGATGATTTGCCCAAATGTATAGAGAGGAATCGGGGTGTGTAAACCCAGCCAACCTGATTCCAAAGTCTGTGCTGTTGGCAGATCAACAGTCATGGATGCTTGCTCTGCAGCTGGTAAAGCCCGAGTCTTCTCTGGAGAAGCTTCTAATCTGGTAGGGAGACAGGCTTAGAGCTGCCTGATGGTACATGGTAAGTGATTGCTATGTCTTTCAAACCTTATGAAAAAGCACCTTTGAACCACTCTTACTCATCACTGCAAGCTAATTTACTGTGTGAACATGGGCCATACAGAGGTTGTGTTACTCAAAATTAGGTACTTAGATATGTCTGGATCTTGAGAACCATATAAAATCAACTCCCCATTCCCATCCCAGCCTGGCCCTTACGTACATCCTTCCTTGCTGATGAATGCTCCTTGGGGAGCCTGAGGAATGCCTTTCCACACGGTGATGGGCTTGGGGTAGCCAGGGTCTGTGGCCCGCCGTTCCTCACTGTAGCGCCAGTACCGCTCGCCTTTGAAAAAATAGGTCTTGCCCACAGGTTCCCAGCGCAGAGCTGTGTCGATCCCTTCACGTGGCAGGCAGCTGCCCAGCTCTCCCAAGCTATGGGGATACCCAGGTTCTACTGTGACCTCTTTGAACACCCAGTACTTGTCGCCTGTGGGTAAGAGGAGTCCAGGATCAGCTTTCCCTAGGCACTCAGTGCCCAAAGTTGTGCCTAATGCCACTTGCCCATCTTTATTCATAAAGTGAGAGTTTAAGTTCTCTTAGCCTCTTGTCCCAGCAGATCTTGGGAGCAAGAAGCTCGTCAGACCTCAGGCAATGTGCCCCAATGCTACCCAGAGTCTGTGCCCACCATCTTGGTTTTTTGTATGTTTATGTTTGTCTTTTGTTTTTAAGATGAGATGTTGCTTTGTATCCTTGGCTGCCCTGGAACTCATCATGTAGACCAGGCTGGCCTCAGACTTTCAGTGATTCTCTTGCCTCTGCCTCCCAAACGCTGGCAATTACAGGTACAGACTAGCCACCTTCTTGTCTTGTTCTCTCTTTTCTGGTGCTATGACCACCCCCTATTCACATTTAACCTAGGCCCCACCCTTGATATCTTATGCTCTCCCATGGTCTCTGGCCACTTCAAATTGGCTTTCTGGAGTGCCTCATCTTTACCAAACAGGCTCTCTCTTTACCTTTCTGCCTCCCAGCATTCCTAAGAACTGCTGGCATCGTCATTAACCCGCTCTCTGCTTCCTCTCTGAGTAGTCAGCTACTTATGAGGATTTGCATCTTTTTAAAAAATTTTTGGTTAAATTTATTATTATTTTTATTTTATGTGTATGTGTATATTGCCTGAATGTAGGTAGGTGCACCCATGTCGTGCAATGCCTGCAGAGGTCAGAAGAGGCTGTCGGATCCCCTGGAGCTGGAGTTATGGACAGTTGTTAGCTGCCATGTGGGTGCTGGGATTTGAACCTGGGTCTTCTGCAAGAACAACCAGCATTCTTAACCACTAAGCCATCTCTCCAGCCCCAAGGACTTGCATCTTGCAGCTGCTCCTTGCTCTGTAGCGGCATTCCTTTCTGCTTTGGGCCTCATGGATGGCACTCTCCTCAACTCTAGCAACCACCTCTGAAATGCCCTCCGTGCCTCTGCATTACCATATTGCTACCCACCCTATGGCTCTGTGATGTTCAGAAACCTACAGTGAGTTTCTGGCATTGGACTAAGGCCTGGACCAAATTCTGGCCTGGCAACCAAGGCTCTATAAGAATTGCCCTCACATGACCTTTCTGGCTGTCCAAGGTGGTCCCTCAATGGCTGCCAGGTAAAGTTCTGAGCCCTTCTGTCCTCATACACTCCACTAATTCTCACTGTCTTTTTCTTGCCCATCTTGAACCTGGCCAAGGCAGGATTACCAGTGTGAACCAACTGGTACAGGGCTGGCCCCAGGCCGGGCACATTAGCTTGCTTTCTCCTCTCCTCCCTGTTCTCTCCCACCTGTATGGCTTGTTGTCTCTGGGCTCTTACAGAACAGAGAAGATGACCTTTCCTGGTGTACTGGTCTTCCCTGTCTTACCCTATACTTCATATGGGTGGAGACTTTCACCCCATTAACATTGGCACTTTCTTGACTTGATTTTCCCAGATGGTATACTTCCTACCTACAGTGACCTGTCCCATCAGAAGTCAGTGTCTGCTGGGCAGGGTGGTGCACACCTTTAATCCTAGCACTCGGGAGGCAGAGGCAGGCAGATGTCTGTGAGCTCAAGGTCAGCCTGGTCTACATAGTTCCAGGCCAGCTGTGGCTACAGGGAGACCCTGTCTCATAAAACAACACACACACACAAAAGAAAGAGGAGGAGGAGATGGAAGTGGTGTACGAGGAGGAGGAAGAAGAGGAGGAGAAAGACAAGGAAGAAAAGGAGGAGGAAGATGAGGAAGCAAAGGAGGAGGAGGAAGAAAAAGAGGAAGAACAGGAGGAGGAGGAGGGGAAGGAGTCAGTTTCTGTTGGGCTGGAAGGGTCCACTGAAGGCAGCCATCTACTTCCCACCCCACCTCCTCTTTAGATATGAAAAAGGCAAGTCTCAAAAAGGGCAGGGAAACATCCCAGGTCCTGCACAGGCCATGTTACCTTTGAAGAAGACAAATCTTCCATCAGCCCTTTCATAGGCTGCATCTATGCGAGCAGGCAGGCCCTTCCAGAACTGCTCAATCTGCATGGGGTATCCCTCCTGCACTCGGTTATTGCGCAGGCGCCAGAACCAGCGATCCTGGAGGAGGAGAGGAGAAAACGACATGGCAGGTTTTGTCTCTGAATCCAGTGATCTCAGCCTCAGGGCTCAGGCCCAGTAACCCAACACTAACCCCAGGGCTCAGCCTCACACCCCTGTCCCCCATGGAGTCTGTCCATCTGCTGCTTCTAACTCTTAAAAGAAGACAGGCACGACACGGTGCACTCACATACGTGCAGGCAATACACTCATACACAAACAATAAAAATAATAAAATATTTTTTTAAAAAAAGAAGACAGGATGCAACTGTTCCTTTAAGATTCCCTGCTGTCCAGGGACTCTGGCACAGCAGACAGATGGGGTGTGGAAAAGGAGGTGTGGAAAACTAGTAAGGGGAATGTCAGGTCCTGGAGTGGCCACGGGAGGGCAGCAGAAAGTCACTGACTTCAGTCTCGTGGGACTCCCAGCATGGTAAGGGCAATAATAAAACCCACACTTGCCTGTGAACACTTTATTAGGATGATCAAAGACATGAGTGCAACAGTAGGCAGATGACTTGGAGAAAATTGTACAAAATTTGTATTTTTAAAGGTGTTTTATGAGCACTTTTAGGACCAGTGTGTGTGGTGGTTTTTTTTTGAAACTTATTCTGACTTTCATGATTCTGTTAAGTCAATCTGAGATTCACAGTCTTAAGGAAGGCCAAATGACATGCCTTAGAGTCAGTCCTTCAGTGAGTGGTGGGACTGGGTGGGGCTAGCCCACATGGCCTGAATTTTGCTCAATGCTTGAAGCTTGGTGGGGAGACCTTAGGAAAGGGTATGGGGTAGCCTTCCTCCACCACCCATTGTGATGGAGACCTGCTGCCCAGACCCCATTTGGTGAAGGGAACTGTTCCAGTGACTGGAAGTGTGTCAGGAAGCAGCTTTCAACTTTCAACCCTTTGGGGATGGCCTTAACTTCAGAGAGCCTCCTTCAAGGTCACCTCCTTCCTCATCAATGAGGCAGGGGATATAGGCCTATGTTGGGCTATTTTAGGTCCAACACAGACTGACTCCGATAGCTCCAGAGCTCCCCATAAGGTGGATGAGTTGGCAACAGGCCTGTGTTGCTCCTCAGCTTCTCTGCCTGCCCTTTTGGGCTTTCCTGATCCTCCCATCCACAGATGTTGATTCCGAAGGCACTCCTTGACCTGCATGCACTCCAGACTGTGTCTCAGAGTCTGTTCCCGAGGGCCTAGCCTGCAGCACACCATGCCCAGACAGCCCTTGGCTAACATGACAGGCACTGGACAGGTGACAAGATGTAGCCTGGCTAGTACCAGTCACTCAGGCTCTGGCAGGAGCTGTAGGCTCTACCACCATATGTCAGCCTCTACTCTGTCTTCATAGCCCTTAATTTTCACACGTCCTTTGACAGGGGAATGACTCCCCAAGGTTTCAGATGGACATCTGAGATCTGGAGAAGAAAGGTGACTTGCTCAAGGTCACAGACCAGAAGCCATCTCCAGCTCTTTCTTGAGCAGTAACTCCCTGGAAGTTGTTGGTTCATCGATCTTTCCTTGTCACCTTTTGGTTGATTCATCTGGTAACATCAGAAAGAGACCCTGGGTTCTGGTCACTAGGCCAGTTCCTGTCCAGGCTCCATAGCAGTCTAATTATAGAACAGGAGCTTGCCCAGCTCCATAGTGGGGAAAGGAGTGGAAAGGGTCCAACTGGGTGACACGGATCCACCAGCCCTACCTTAAACACAAACATCTCGCCCCGGAAGAGGGCCACCGTGTTGAAGTTGCCATCACAGATGTTGGGTTTGGCACCTGGAGTGGATGGACGGTCCCCAAGAGGTGGTCGAGGGGGCCTGGGCTGCCGTTCATGCTTCCTCTCAGATGGTGAGTGGATCCTGCGAACCGGGAGTGTGGGGAGGGGCCTTGTGGGCTCCAGAGGCTCAGCCGGGGGTCCTAGAGAGAAGGACTACATCTTAGAGAGGGCCTACTTGTTCCCTGCTGTCCTCTGCTACTGCCCAACCATTACATAGGCAGCTCTGGGTCAAGCCTGTCACCTTCTTACATCCTGTCCCCTCTCCCTGATGTAACTTCCCAGGGTTTGAGAAAATAGATGGAAACAACCACTAGAAGAGGACCCTCACCTTTCCACCCCAAGTCAGGTATCTTTTTCTTTTTAAGAAGAAACTTGTCCTTCCTTAGGGTCAGTGTCCTAGCCCTCTTTTCCTGCTCCCTTTCACACAAGCTGGGCCCTAATTTCTCCCTTTCCTCCTTCAGCCAACTTTTTTTTTTTTGGTCTTTTTTGAGACAGGGTCTCCCTATAGCCCCAGCAGGCCTGGAACTCACTTTGTAGACCAGGCTGGCCTTGAACTCACAGAGCTTTGCCTACCTCTGCCTCCCAAGTGCTGGAACTAAAGGCGTGCGCCACCACGCCTAGCTTTTCAGCCAACTTTAATACAGCTTCGGCTCTTCTTTCCACCCAAATCACTTGCCAAGATCATCAGTAACCTCTGTGGTGCAATCCAACAGCTATCTACTCAAACCTTGTTAAGTGAATAAATCATCTCGGGGTTTTGATAATGCAGATTGTGACTCAGAGGCCTGGGGTGGGGCCTGGGACTCTGCATGTGTCCAGGGTCTCAGGTAGTGCCCATGTCACTGATCTGAGGCCTACACTTTGGGTAACAAGATCCTGGAAGCATCTGCCCTGAACCACAGTGTTCCTTGGTTTTCCTGCCACCTCAGGGGCTGTTTTCTCTTAGCCTCCTTTGCTGTCCAAAGACTGGAGTGTGCTTAAGGAAGCTTCTCTTTTCTTGCTTCCCTTTGTAATGTCTCTAAACCTGGGAAGCCTGTTAGAATTACCTGGGGAATTTTTAGAACTCCAGAGCCTCAGGAAGCACATCAGACCAACCAACTCACCCATATTTCTGGGGAGGGGGTGGATGTCAGTTTCTTACGAGAATCTTAAGATGATTCCATGGGCAGCCAAGTTGAGAGTCACTGCTCTAGGGGACTCATCCAGGTTCCTGGCTTTAAAGACTGTGTGTCAGAGCTGTCAGCTAGGATGTTCTGTGGTGATGGAAATGTTCTATGTCTGCACTGTCAATATAGTTGCCTCTGGTCACATGAACATGTAGCTGTTGAGCACTTCAAAAAGTGAGTGACTTGTTATTAGTGACCGAAGAACTGAAACTTCAGTTTAATTTTAATGATTATACATTTATATTTGAATAGCCATTTGTAACTAGTAACTACTATTTTAGACACTAAAGATCCCAAGTGACTATCCCAGTCCAGATCTTTGAGCTGCAGACTGGCAAATCCTATTGCCTACAATCATAGAGACCAGACTTGTTTTTAAAGGCAGGGTCTCATGTATCCCTGGCTGGCTTCTAGCTCCCTATATAGACAAGGATAATCTTGACTTCTTATCCTCCTGTCTCTACCTCTAGAGTGCTGGGATTACAGGTGTGTGCTACCATGCCTGGTTTATGCCATGCTGAGGCTCAAACCCAGGACTTTATGTGTGCTTGGCAAGCACTCTAGCAACTGAGCTACATCCTCAGCAAGGTCAGAACTCTTGGTGTTATCCTTGGCACTTTGCTTCTTTCCCTTTCCCTCACATCTGATCTGCCAGCAGATCCTAGTCATTCCACTATGGCAATAACTCCAGTGCCAGCTGCCCTGCCCCACTGCTTGACCTATTGAAATCCAGGGCTCTGGTTGCTGCAAATCCTCCAGAGGGAGCCCCACTCCTGTGCTACGTAGACTAGTGTTTGCTTAAGAAAACTGGTCTTCCCATTTCAACAAACCTGACTAGAACAAGAACCTTCTATGTCAGTGTGCATGGCGGAAGTCCTTTCATCTCTTATTAAGACAGCAAACTAGCTTCTCATGTTTCCTAAGACCAAAGCTCTGGTTATGATACTTATTACCATTACTCAGGTAGATGTGTGACTCACCTTGGCTTGAGGAACCCAGGAAAGTGCCCAGCCCTATCTAGTAGAGAGAAGGAATGGAGCACAGGAGGTGAGAGGTAGGGGGGGAAAGGTAGAAAAGAGAGAATGAGTGAGCCTCACCTCACTTTGCTTTTCCCCGTCACATCTCAAACCCTCTTAAGTGTGACAAGGCTCCCCATTCCACACCTGTCCCTATAGGCAGGCAACCACAGCCCACTCTGAACAGTGACCCCTCCCTCACCACACACACGCACACACCGTAAATCTTCTGGATGCCCTGGAGGTCATCCTGGGGCAGCTTGAAGTTGTGCGTCTCCATGTACTGGTAGAAGGGTGCCATGATGGCGCTGGGGTCATTGGAGTGCTCCAGTCCCAGTGCGTGGCCCAGTTCATGCACAGCCACTAGGAAGAGGTCGTTCCCTGTAGAGAGGGGCATGGGAGGTGCCCAGGGCACCCACTTAGGTATCAGGTGTCAGTCCATTACTTGGGCAAGCACTGAGCATATGCACCATGCCTGATCTTCTGCTGGGCATTGGGGACATACAGAGAAATCACACACAAATCTTGCTTTATGGACCTCTTGATATAGAGGGGGGCACATGCAGAATGTGACATAGGTGTGTCTGGGTGCTCAGGTGCTTTAACAGATGTCTATAAAGGTTAAGGAGTTTTTTGGTTTTTGTTTTTTTTTTTAATACCACTGAGCTATATCTGCAGACCTCTTTCCCTTTTTATTTTGAGACAGAGTCCCACTAAGTTTCCAAGGCTGGCCTTGATCTCACTCTGAGGCCCAGGCAGGCCTTGAACTTGGTCCTTCTGCCTCAGTTTCCGGTTAGCTGTGATTACAGGTCTAGTTTGGGAGATTTTGAGGAGGAAGGGCAGGGGAGGAAAATGCTCAGGGAAACACCATAAAAGCAAAGCTTAAGCTGAGTCTTGAAAGGTAAGAAGTTGCTCAGGAGAATAGACTCAGGGTTGAAGAGGAAGAGGGTGGAGTGGCACTTCTGGCAGAGGGAATGCCATAAACCAGATCTAGGGACAAGCAGTTCATTCCACTTGGCTTTAGAACAAAGCAGGAGGGGAGGGCCAGAGAGAGATGAGGTCAGCCAGGCTGGCAAGCAGGGCTCTGTGGTACTCTACAAAGGAATTTGGATCACCTTCTTGGTCAGCAGGGGTGGGTGTAAGCAGGACAGCAGGTGGGGCACATGAAGTCATTACCCTTCTTGCAGTTGGAGAGGGAATTAGAGGCAAAGGAGACCTGAGTCAGACCAGTGGGATCAGTTCAGAAGGTGAAATCCAGGTACTGGGGTGCAGGTAGGAAGTACAAAGGGCCGAGTCAAGAAAGGTGTGGCAGGATAGCAGAGAAAGTGCTAGGGGTGGCCTCAGGAGTCCTAGGGTGAACAGGGCTCTGGGCATGGGGCAGCTCTGTCAGCAGGACCCTAGTCCTGAAAAAATGGAAGTACTGGCCAAGACCAAGTTGAGGAGTCAAGTATAGATGGAAACACAACCCATGGGCTGAAAGTGGGACACAGGCTCCTGAGTATGAAACTGAGGTGGTGACACAGTAGGGTGGTTTTCAGTGTCCCTGGAGTGGGACAGATCACCTTCATTTCCAGTGCCACACCTACCAGCTTTATGAACTTGGCCTATTCCCTGAGCCTCAATGTCCTCATTTATAAAGAGGAACCATACCTACCTCATGGCTTAGGTAAAAAGTGAATAAGATAATGTATAAAATGCATGGCTTAACCAGGAATGGTTTCTCTGTTACAGCACAAAAGATGCAAACTGGGCTAGAACAAGCTCATTGGTCAGAAAGGCCAGTGGGATCCCAGCAGCAGATTATCTTAAAGCTAGTTCAACGTTTGTTTTAAGCCTTGGGTAAGCATAGGCCTGAATTTGGGGGCATTATGTAACCAGTGTTGGGAAAGAAATGCCAGGACCAAGGAGTTGGGCAGGGCATTGTATACACAGCTCTGGCTCTTCTCTTCTACTTCTAGATGCCTATCTGCATTTCTAGCATTTCTTCACACCTGCCTTGTGTCTCTCAGTCCTAAGCATGTCTCATGAGGCCCCTTTCTGCCACCCGGAAGTCCAGGGAGGCCACCAGGAGTCAGGAACCCTACTTCCCACTCTGGCTACAGTATCCCTGACCAAGGTACCCTCCCCAGTCCATCAAGTCCCCATAAGGGTCAGATAGAGGTGGGAATTGTTTGGGTTTCCTGGATAGGGTCTTGAGAAACAAGAACTCCACAAGGCTGACCTAGACTGAGGGAAGTTGGAGAGCCTGCCTCTCCACTGACACCCAGTGTCATCAGTAAAGCCACCTTTGAGCAATGGGAAGGAAGTAGGGATGGGCAAATCATTGCAAGGTTGGCCAAAAGCCTGGGGCTGGCCTTCTGCTGAGAAGGCAGGCTGGCAGGAGATGACCAGGTTGCCCCTAGCTCCTTCCTCAGGTCCTGGTTCCTCTGGCAGCAGGCAGGTGTGAGCTCATCTCTGGGCTCCATGCCAAACAAACGCTGTGGCTGGAGCCAGCAGAAGGCAGCTCTGCTTCCTAGGGCCTGTCCTGGCTCTGCTCCTGGCCGGCTGCTCTACCTGGGACAAGCTGTTCAGGGCCTCTGCCTTCTGACCAGGCCTCTTCTTGGGACCAACCATGGGAGCTTTTACAGGGAGCCAGGGAGAACCTGGGGATTTTCAGCCTTTGTCCTTGGCCTGTGCCTGGTTCTTCAGAGAAAAGAGAAATCCCTTGAAGGAAAGGGGTCTTGGAGTTTTGTTCCTGGAACCAAAAGAAAGGATTTGGGAAGCCAGCATCCTGCTGCACAGAAACCTAGGAGAGCTCTGCAGAGGAGAGGAAAGAAAAGGTACAGGCAGTCTCCCTGAACTTGTGAGGAGAGGCAGAAGTATGAGACTGAGTCTGCTATGGAGAAGAGCCTGGTACCGTGTGGAAAGGAGGCGCCTAGGGTTTTCACTCCCCAAGAGAGTGGGAGGCAGGAAGCAGAGTGGTGAGATGTGGTCTCTGCAGCTCTGCCTTGTCCTCTTTGCAATGAAGAGAATAATACACCTTCTTCCTTAAGAACAAGGGCGTTAATGAGGTGAGGTTTGCAAAGTGCTCATACCTGGTCCTGGCAAAGAAGTATCACTGCTAATTACCACAGTCCTGTTGAGCTGTGTGTGAGGACCAGTGTCCCTAGTTGTGAGCCGAGAAGTCTCTGGGCCTCCTAGCAGATCCCTGACAGTCTGCTTGGCTACTCCAGTGGGCCTTGCCTTTTCTCTTAGGATTTCCCTCTTTGGGAATTCTCACTTCTCTAAAAGCTCCCCAAAGGCATTTCCCTTCACCTCTGCGCTCTTGCCAGCATTGTCCTCTCCATCTGAAATACCTTCTTTCCCTCAAAGTTTACCTCAGTGCCCATCTCCCAGGAAGCCAGTCTGGCTCTTGCAACTGACAGATTATGTTGCCTCCTCCTCTCCCAGCATTTAACCCCAGGCAGCTTTAGGTACTGGCCACTTTCCAGCCAATGTTAATTACAGCCACCGGTACATACTCTGCCCCAGGACGCTGAGCTTCTTCCAGGCAGTAGCCCCAGAAAATAGCTTAGCGGTGTCTGAGTCTGACAAGGTGAGGTGACAGAACCCAGGATGGAAGAGTGCCAAAACTTTAGTAGCTCTCCAGGTACAGTCTTTGGACTGCTTGCAGCAGCAACCCCCCATGGGGTCTGTTAAAGATGTGGAGTCATGGGCTAAAGAGATGACTTAGTGTTTAACAGCTCTGGCTGTTCTTGCAGAGGACCCGGGTTCAAGTCCCAGCACCCACATGGTGGCTAACAACCATCTGTAACTCCAGTTCCAGGAGAATTCCAACACTCTCTTTTGACCCCCATTGAATGACACAGGTGCGCTTACATACATGCGGGCAATATACACATGCACATACAATTAAAAAAATAATAAACAGAATGTTTTTTAAAAAGATGTGGAGTTGCAGATTTATATCTGACTTTGCCACTTTCCAACTGAGCAGAGCTTTGCTTCCCTCACCTCTAAAGCAGAAATTATAATCCCCACCTCTTTGCCTTCTGCGATGGGAGAGTTAGTGACCTAAGTGTGGAAAAGCTCTGTTCTGTAAAGCAGGGTACTGTCATGAAGAAGACTCTTCCTGTCTTGTCACCTTTTCCTACAAAGGAGCAGCATAGGGCTGGACTCCCTTCCAGCGGCACTTACGGAGGAGCATCTGCTGACTTCACTAGTTGACTCATTTGAAAGAAATGAGGACAGGAAATTTGTTAAAAAAAAAAAAGCTTAAAGGTGTGGTGGGCTAGCCTGCTCTTCACAGCTTTCACTGGGGTGCAGAATGAGGAGTAAGTGCAAATGCAATGGTTCTTTGGGGGAGCCTTGTGTGTATGTGTGTGTGTATGTGTGTGTTGTATGCATGTGTGCAGGCATGCTTGCATGTGGGGACACGTGTGTGGAGGTCAGAGGTTGATGTGGGATTCCCCTATTGCTCTCTAGCCTATTTATTTTGTTATTTTTGAAACAAAGTCTCTCTCTCTGAACCTGGTGCTTGCTGTTTTGTCTAGACTGGCTGGTCAGCAAGCCCATGGGATCTTCTTGTTTTTGTCCCCTCCCCTGCAGTGCTGGGATTGCAGCCACATGCTGCTGTGCCTGGCTTTTATCAGATGCTGGGGATCTAAACTCAGTTCCTCATGCTTACAATACAAGCACTTTACCCACTGAGCCATCTCTCCAGCATCACCTTTCTTCTATAAAGTATCTCAGTCTGTATCCCAAGTTGGCCTGGAACTCACTATGTAGCCCAAGTTGGCCTTAGAACCACAGTAATCTTCTTGCCTCATCCTCCTGAGTGCTAGAATTTAGGCATGAGTTTAAGAAGCTTTTTAAAATACTTGGGGAGGAAGGATTCTGATTCAGGGATTTATGTTGGGATATAGACATGCTCCCCAACCCCAGTTTTGAGACAAGATCTTATTATGTAGTCCTGATTGGCCTGGAACTCACTATGGACACCAGGCTGGCCTCGAAGTCTCAGAGATCCCCCTGCCTCTTCATCCCAAGCGCTGGGATTAAAGGTATATGCCACTACATTCAGCTCTTTCTCTTTTTAAAACTAGTACCACCAGTATTATATGTGCTTCCTGAGATGGTTAACAGGAAGTACCAGCACCACAAAGGAACATTCTAGCCAAAAACATGAACCTAAATCTGGGCAGGCCTCTAGAGCTAATCACCAACAATCAGGAATCATGAAAACAGAGGTTAAAAGTGAACCTGAGTCTCTCAGGCTAAATGATTATACTTAGGATGGGTGACCCAGTTTCTTCAACACAAGGTAGGGAAGTGTGTGTGTGTTGGGAGGTATTTTAAATAATAAAACTTTAAAAGTCAGCCATGTGTGATATGGATCTTGTTTGGATCCTGATTGAAGCAAATGACTGTAAAAGACATTCTTGAGATAATTTGGAAAACTGACGGTATTAGGGTGTGTGTGTGTGTGTGTGTGTGTGTGTGTGTGTGTGTGTTTGTATATGTCCTTGGCAAATGTGCATGCACATGTATGCATGGACATGTGGAAACCAGAAATCAACCTTGGATTTTGTTCCTCAGAGGCTGTCTACCTTGGGATTTTGTTTGTTTGTTTGCTTTTGTTTTGGGTTTTTTTTTGTTATTAGATTTAGAATTCCTTTTTTTAAAAAAATATTTTATTTATTATTTTTATTTTATGTGTATGAGTGTATTGCCTGCATGTATGTGAGGGCACCTGTGTCATGCAATGCCTCAGAGGTCAAAAGAGGGTTTCGGATTCTTCTGGAACTGGAGTTAAGGATGGTTCGTAGCTGCCATGTGGGTGCTGGGAATTGAACCTAGGTCCTTCCTTTTTTTTTTTGAGACAAGATCTTCCTGTAGCCCCAGTTGGCCTGGAACTCCCTATGCAGACCAGCTGGCCTAGATCTCACAGAGATCTGCCTGCCTCTGTCTCCCAAGTACTGGGGTTAAAGATGTGCACCACCACACCCAGCACACCTGGCCCTTTTATATGGGTTCTAGGGATTAAACAAAGGTGATTGTGCTTGTGTGACAAGTGTTTTACCAATCCCCTGGGTATCTGATTTTAAGAAGTTGTTAACTTTGTTGGGTTTGATAATGATTTTGTGGTTATGTTAAAATTAGGTCTTTGTTAGAGGTACACACTAAAATATTCACATGTGAAATGATATTATACCTGAGTAGGAAAGACACAGTATTGGTTGTTGAACCAGGTGATGGGCACCTAGGGATGCTATTCATTCTCCCTCCATCGGAGATTTTGAAAAATTTCCATAATGAAAGTTTAGAAAACAGAAGAAAGTCAATAATCAGAAAGTTCCCACTCCCTCCCTCACTGAGTCTATACGGAAATCAAATGACATCATATCCAAGTGTCCAATACACCTTGGTTCCTTTTCTCTCTCCAAAAGCTGTCTTGGGGCAGTACTCAACAGCTCACCCCCTTACCAGCCAGGGATCTATTGCTGTGCTTGTGAGCTGTGTCTGGCTCATTTCTGTTTTTACAAAGACAAGTCCTGACTTCTGTCCAGAGAAGGCATTAGCTATCTTGGAGTTTCTATCAGAAAAGATGGGATGGACCAAGCAGGAAGGGTGATGCAATGGTGTGCATTCCCAGGTCCTAGGTCATTCCCACCCACTGCACACACCAGTTTTGGGGACTGGACGCTGAGTCCTGCAAGATCTCCAAAAGCAGGGAATGGGTATGACAGTGCAAATCCCTGGAGTTTTGCAGAAGGGGAGGCGCAGGAATAGGAAAGTCTTCCTTTACCTCCATAGGAAAATAACCCTTTGAAAATTCATTTGTGTTTATCAGAACGGTAACTAAAACCTTATCAGCTAACAGTGCCTGGCACGTAATGGCCGCAAAATGATAGTTTTCTTTTCCAGACACCTTATCAGTTAGCCTAGCCATTTGTCGATATCTATCCAAAAATAAAAATGAGATAAAGAATAGATGTACAAAAAGCCAGGAAAGACATAGGGGAGATGATGCCAAAGCAGAGGAAATGGAGCTTCATAGGAAAGAGAATAAAAATCTGAAAGGAGGAGGAAGACAAACAGAAATTTAACAGCCTCATAACACTGAGGCTGAGCCTTGGCCAAATCATCTCCTGAGCCAGTCTTTGACAGATAAGCCTAGAGTGACTAACCCTGACCAATGCAATGGTTTGGAGTGTCCTCAAGGGTGCAGACTCCATGTACAGACATCAGATGTGACTTCTGAGAAAAGGGGCCTTCAAGAGTGCTCACAGCCTGAAGAGGTGCCACAGCAGAAAAAGACACCCACTGTTTTCCCAAACTTGCTTGAGCTTAAGGATCAGGATCTCCAGGGGAAGGGACTAAAGTCCTTGTTTTTAACAAGATCCTTGGCAGTTCTCATAATTAGGCTGGAGAGGGAAACTTCAATGGAAAGAGATATCTCTCAAGCTTGAAATCTGCATTCTCAAATAATTTCTTGGTGATTCTCATGTACTCTGTAGTTTGAGATCCACAGAAGTATGACATGCTGACTGATGATATTGGCTCTGGGGCTATAATGTTCAAGATCAAAGCCTTGTTTTACCACTCACCAACTATGGGGCCTTAGGTAGGTTACTTAATGCTCTCTATGCCTTTGGTTGCCTATCTCTAACATGGGACAATAATATCTACCTACATAATGTGTGGAAAGCAGTTGGTCCGGACCTTAGATCATTAACATATCTACTAATTGCTATTTAGTATAATCTAAAGGCTGAGCCCCCGTCCCTCTTTCCTATGAACTCTCACTCCTTTCTTGGCTCCTCTGCTGCACCTTTCAGTAGAGAACGTCTTGTGGCAGAGTCACATATGTGCATATCTGACTGGACTTCAGATGGCAGCCTGTATCTTTTTCCTTCTTCTTCTTTAATTAAACATCCAGATCCCCTTTGGGTTTTGAAGGACTTTGTATCATGTCATATTAGAGTTGGAAGAGACCTTAGATCGCCTACTCTGACCTCTTCTTTTATAGAGAAGATTGGAGGTGAATTTTATATCTCTGACCTCATAGCTGAGGTTTCAGTTTTTGATTTTCCCTACAAGACAGGATGTCATGTAGCTCAGGTGGCTGAGGATATAGCCAAAGATGATCTTGCAAGTCTGACCTGCCTGCTTCCACTTGTGTGCTGGGATTGCAGGTATGTACCACATACTCCTAGTTTATGTGGTGTGCTGGGGATTAAATCCAGTGCTTTATGAATGCTAGGCAAGTACTATTGAGCCCTCCCCCACACCCCCCGTCCTCATATAAGGGGTTGTTGAAGTAGGATTTAAGCTCTAACACTAGCATCTACCAGCTATTCCATTTGAGCTCTGAACTCTTCATCTTAAAAATGGGCATAATAAGGGCTGGAAAGATGGCTCAGTGGTTAAGAGCACTGACTACTCTTGCAGAGGACCTGGGTTCGATTCCTAGCACCCACATGGCAGCTATGAACCATCCTTAACTCCAGTTCCAGGGGAATCAGAAGCCCTCTTCTGACCTCTGTGGCATTGCACAACACAGGTGCACTCACATACATGCAGGCAATATACTCATACTCATAAAATAAAAATAATAAAATATTTTTTTAAATGGGCATAAGAGCTGGCATGGTGGCTCAGTGGATAAAGGTACTTGCTGCCAAGCCTGACAACCTGAGTTTGATCCTTGGGTCCCACATGGTAGAAGGGGAGAACAGATCCCTGCAAATTGTCCTCTGACCTCTACATGCTCCCCATGGCACATGTACCCCTCCCCTAAATTTAACTAAATAAATGAATAGGCTATTAGGCTGGTGAGGTGGCTCTAGGGTGCCTGTTACTAGGCACAACCGCCTAAGTCTGATCCCCAGGACCCACACAATGGAAGGAAAGAACTGACTCCCGTAAGTTGTCCTCTGACTTCTATACATGCACTGTGGCACATGCATACCCCCCTCATACATACATGCAAACAAATGAATGTAATTCTTTTGGGGGGGAGACATCTTTTTGAGACAGGGTCTCCCTGTAGCACCAGGTGGCCTGGGACTCACTACATAGACCAGGCTGGCCTTGAACTCACAGAAATCTGTCTGCCTCTGCCTCCTGAGTGCTGGGATTAAAGGCATGTACCACATCTGGCTGTAATTCAGTTTTTAAACGGATATGCACTGTATCCTTGCCCATTTGCTAAGCAAGTGCCCTATGAGTTAATATCAATGAGGAACTCTTTGGCAACTAAAAGGTATTGTTACTCTCATTGCACAATATTGACTCCTATATTGTGCAATGAGTGTCATGTGTCATGAGTAACCATTGGATCACAGTGATGCAGGGCAAGTTATCTGAGGATGCTAGAGAAATTATATATGACACTTCATTATAATAACTTTGGGGCCTGAGCCTATTAACTTTGGATCTTATGTTCTGCTTTAACACCTTTCTACCTTTTTCTTCAGCCTCTGACAACATTGTTTTTCATTCATGGTGCAATCCTGCCTCAGTCAATTAGACCATCTCCTAGGTGATCTCACCCATCTTTGTGGCCCTGGCCCTGATGGATCAAGTGTTGAATATTATCAAAGACTATTAGTTTCCACCTCTTGGGTCTTTAGTTCTTAGACAGGAAGCTCTAGAAAGTAGGTAGGTCTCTCATCAATGGGATCCTCAAAACTCTTCCCTGATAACTGAGAAACCCAGGATTGACCCTGCCCACCTCAAACCCATCCTCTCATGGCCTTACCATCGTGATTGGCATTTCCTAGTGTCCATGGCTCATCTGAATCAAAGTGAGTGTCTCCTCCAATCCCTGGTCCAGGAAAGTAGGCATGGGCTAGGAATCCTCCTTCCCCATCAAATGGGGAGCTATCACCATGGAAACCAGAAGCAAAGAAGATCATGATGTCTGCCTCCTTCCGGTCACTTTTGATCTCATGGTATGGCACCTCTTCAAAGGTCAATGGGGTCACCTTCTGCCACACATCAAAAGCCTGGCGAATAGCTTTCCGTGTGTCCAGCTCACCCACTTTTGGGGTGTAGTTGTGAATGCTGGTGAGAGAGAGAATGGTGGTCATTAGGGAGAAATACCAAGCCAGAGACTTGAGGATACCCTTTCTACAAGGAAGGAAATAGGTCTAGAGTGGTTGGGTGATAGAAGTTAAGGTCAGAGTTTGGTTAGAACCTGGATTTTCCTCCTCTTGAGCTATTCTTCCTCTTTGGAAGATCCAAGAGTCTGGAGAGTTTCTAACCTAGATTCTTCCTAAGTTTCCTTCTCTTTTCTGAAAAAAATTCTATTCTGATCTCTATAGTTTGTCAAAAGGAAAGCCCTTAATTTAACCCCAATAATCTATTTCTTAGGTCCTGTCACTGTATCCAGGGGATCTATATGATATGGAAGCAGAGCCTTGAGAAGTGCCAAGCAGAGCTCACTGGAGCTTGCCCTATCCATGGACCGACCCCAGCCCCACTTGAATTCTGGTGTCTGGCTCTGCTGTGATGGATGTGGTATTATCACCCTGGTTCTTGCTCGCAGTCACAGGTCAGACTTGAAGACTGAATCTGCTCCGTCCTGGTTTTCTCAGTCAGGGAATGACGTGGTTGTGACTCACGTCTCCATTTGTTACTCTCCTTAAGAAACAACTGGGGCTCTGCATTGAGCATCTTGGGTGGTCTATCAAGCTGATTCTGGATGGAGGGAATCTAGCAGAGGCAGTGGTATTTGCAAGCATTAAAGAAGAGAGAGTTCTGTTATGGGTTTTTACCATAGCTGAACACCCCACTCTCAGTAACTAAAAACGGTAGGTATCTAAACAGAACACAACTAAGGAAGACCTAATGGACCAGGGAAACCCGAAAACCACAGCTGGAATCACCACCTGTGGAAGTTGCAAGGAAGGCAAGGTCACAGGTTCTCTGCACCCGGTCCCGATGCCCACCCCACATGCCTGGCCTTTGTCTTAACCCACTCAGACATACCTACCCTGAGACCCTTGGAGCCCTAGGCAGGAAAAACGGTGAGTGTGGGGGTCAAAGTCAGGGAGGAAGAGAGGGAGTCAAAGCACCTGTAGGTGATGTGTTTTTGCCTCCACTTCTGTCCGGTCAGGGCATAGCGCTTATTTCTCCGCCTCCGGCTCAAGTGGGGGTGATCAGGGACACCACATCGGGGCTTCTTCATCCACCTGGGCAGAGAGAACACACACACACACACACACACACACACACACATACACACACACGTTTGTGGTCACTGAACACTCTAGGAAGGCATGCCCAGTCCCCAACTCCAATCTGAATGAAATGCAGATCCTCAGCTGAGATTCTGGGGTCCTGGCTCTGAAGACCCCCAGCAGGAACTTGACTGACTGATTCATTAATTTATTCACTCTCAAGAAACATTGCTAAGTAAGAGACTTGAGTCAGGAGACACAGCTTGTTAAGTACAGTTCCAACACTAAGCTAGGACCCCAGGTAAGTGATCGAATTAACATGAACCTCAGTTTCCTCATCTGTATCATAACACCCTCCCCCCGTCCCCTGGTCTACAAGGCAGCACAGGGTCTAGCCCCTGCCTACCTGTCCAGCAGCTCCCAGACTGCCTCCTGCCACAGAGAACTTTTGACTGTGGAACATGCCGTCTGTTCTACTCTACAGCTTGCTGTTCGCTTTACTTGTAACACTGTCCTCATGAGATTTATTCTTTTACTTCATTAGGCTCTCTGTCCCTCAGAGAGAGCTTCCTTGATGAACCCATCTGAAACCACACCACCCCAACACTGTCTGCTCATCTTGCTTGATGTTTATAACATTTATCACTCCTTGAATTTTATGTATCTGCTTTCTTATTTATTCTTCCTTTTTCTCACCAGATTCTTCACTCCATTAGACTTGCTTGTATCCACAGGGCTGGCACAGTGCCTCCCATAGAGGTGGGGGTTCAGTGATGATTTGTTAACTGGCTGACTGAATGAATGAATCAGAACTTTTCAACACAGGACAGAACAGCATGAAAGACAGTAAATGTCCTTTCACTACAGGTGTTTAAGAAGTGGCTAAATAGCTGGGTGTGGTGGAACACGCCTTAATCCCAGCACTCAGGAGGCAGACACAGGCAGATATTTGTGAGTTCAAGGCCAGCCTGGTCTACAAAGTAAGTTCCAGGTCAGCCAGAGCTACATAGTGAGGCCCTGTCTCAAAAAACAAACAAACAATAACAACCTCCCAAACCCCCAAAACAATAACAACAAAACCCCAAATGATTAACCAAACAACAACAACAACAAAAAAGAAGTGGCTAAATAGCCAGGTACAGATCTTAAAATCAGGTCTTGGGAGACTGAGGCAGGAGAGTCAAAAGTTTCAGGCCAGCCTAAGGCTACACAGTGAGACTTTGACTCGAAAGAAAAGCAGCAGCTAACCAGCTACCGGTCTAGGAACATAATTCTCTGCAGCTCTTATTACATTATATTGAGATTTAAATGTTAGCCTGTTGCTTCTAACAACAGGAAATATTTTGAGGACAGAAACCATGTTATTGTGTCCCCCAAAGCAAGTTTGGTGCTTAGAATTTGGTAAATCCTGATAAACTTACTATTATGTAAAGTTACATGAGGGACCTATAAGCCTGGAATATCACTAAGGATTTAAGAAGGGCTAAGGTGGGGGATTTGAAAGGTCATGGTTGATTGGAGCCAGGTTACCCTGCAGTTTATATTCCTGTGCTAGCCTAACAGCCAACTTACTGAACTATGGCTTGGCATTGCTAGAGAGGAAACAGTCTGATCTCATTCCCAGATGTTAACAATAGTTGCCACTGGCAATATGGAGAAAAGAAGACATGGCTGCCTTAACCAAATATGAAAAGCCCCTGGAGGGAATTAACCAGGTCTTACCAACTTTGTGTGCTCCATCACCCAGAGATTAACCCACACTTACAGACCAGTAATGAAATCTCATGACAGCAACAGTGCACCTCGGGGAACATCTACAATGTTTACATGTTCATACTCTTAGAAGTTTGTTTCTTTTGAGATAGGATCTTGCTGTGTAGCCCAGGCTGGTCTCAAACTCATGATCCTTCTGCCTCCACCTCCTCTATGCTGGGATTATAGGCAGGCACAACACCTGGCCCACTTTTAGAATTTTTAAATGTTTTATTTATTGTTATTATTGTGTGTATGTATGATGTGTATATATGTAAATGTTTTATTTATTATTTATGTATATGTGTAAATGTTATTTATTGTGTGTATATCTATGATATATATGATGTGTATGTGAGTGCATGCATGCCACAGCACACATGTGGAGGTCGGAAGACAACTCTGTGGACTCAGTTCTCTCCTTCCACATTTATATGGCTTCTGAGGATTGTCAGCTTTGCCTGCTGAGCCATGTCACTGGTTCACTTTTAGAATTTTTGATTCTTTTTTTTTTTAACTTTTTAAAAAATTTAAATTTTATTTTTTAAAATTTTATGTGTATGTGTGTATTGCCTGCATAGGCAAGTGCACCCATGTCACGCAATGCCCTCGGAAGTCAGAAGAGGCTGTCGGATCCCCTGGGACTGGAGTCACGGACAGTTGTTATCTACCATGTGGGTGCTGGGATTTGAACCTGGGTCTTCTGCAAGAATAACCAATGTTCTTAACTGCTGAGCCATCTCTCCAGCCCCAGAATTTTTGATTCTTAAAAAAAAATACCTAGCTGGGTGTGGTGGCGCACGCCTTTAATCCCAGCACTCAGGAGGCAGACGCAGGCGGATCTCTGTGAGTTCAAGGCTAGCCTGGTCAACATAGTGAGTTCCAGGACAGCTGGGGCTACAGGGAGACTGTCTCAAAAAGACTGAAAAAAAAAAAAAGAAAAGAAAAATCCTATGAGATAACCAGGAATTATTAACTCCATTTTACAGATAAAGGAAAAAGATAAATCAGATAATTTGGAAAATATAAGTCAGTGAGGGAGGAACTTAGCTGAATGAGAAGTGAGTTTTTAACTCAGTTAACAAAGGAAGACTAAGGCTTCTATTTTTCCTCTCAGTGCTTAGCACAAACTTGAGGTACACAGAGTTAGAGAAACTATCCTGTTGATTGAATGAGTGAATGAAAACATAGTATAACATTTCCCAAGGTAAATACTCAAAAATAGTACTTGAAATTATGAATCAAGCTTCCTTTCATGAACAATCCCTGGGAAGGAAACTAAGAGCCATCTCTGCTCCTGCAAGGCTGAATCAGACCTGAAAGGACACCCATGTGGGAAACAGGCCCAGACAAAGGCAGCAATTGCCCAAGGTCACAGAGGTGGAGTGGAAGTTCTCAATTCTACCCCAAACACCTGCCCCACTCTGGACTTAGATTAAGTGTGAGCTGATTTTTCCTTTCCGTACTTCTAGAATATTGTTCCTGACTTCCTAAAAGACATTCAAGCAGAACTATACGGTCAACACTATCCTCTTTCCTCCTTCTCCCTGCCTCCTCTTTTCCCCGTCCATCTGCCACTCTGAATCCTATCCAACAGTCCTGGGGCTTTCCGGAACAGAGTGAAATCCAAGGCCAGGTGGTGCCTCAGCAGGGACACCAGTGCTCCTGGCCCAGGATGTACTACCACAAAGCCTGCACAAATCCCTCAAAATAGCCTCAGCCCAGGAATGTGGTCAGGCTCTATAAGCAGCTCACTTGTGAGGCCACAGGGCCAAGGATTCCACTCATGACATCACAGGAGTCTTTGGAATGTTCTGTCACAGAATTTCACAACTTCGTCATCAGAGGAAGGAAGGACTAGGAAATGTTTGGGTAGAATTTTGGGATCACCAAGTTTTAAGAGTTTATCAGCTTGGAATAATAGATTCTAGCTTTTGAAAGCCAGATCCAACATTCCCTTTGCAAATAAATAGACCAAGACCCCTGAGTGATTCCATCACAAGTGACTTACCCAAGGGAAAAACTGATCCTCGATCCATAACTGGGTGCACTTCCTATTCGGCCTTCTGCCAGCTGTCCTGTGTCCTCAACCAGCCCTGCCATCTGCTTCTACCCCTGTGTGGGCTCCTACTGCCCTCTTAGGAACTTCACTCCTGCTCTTTTCTATGCTTTCGTGAACTGAACGGCTCCTTCTGAAACAGTTTGTGTATTTTTCTTCTTTTTTTTTTTTGGTCTTTTTGAGATAGGGTCTTCCTGTAGCTCCAGCTGTCCTGGAACTATGTAGACCACCAGGCTGGCCTTGAACTCACAGAGATCCACCTGTCTCTGCCTCCCAAGTGCTGGGATTAAAGGCGTGCACCACCATGCCTGCTAAGTTTGTATATTTTTCATGGCTATTTCTTTCTTTAAAAATTTTTTTAAAAAATTGGGGCTGGAGTGAAGGCTCAGTGTTAAGAACACTTGCTGCTCTTATAGAGGACCTGGTTCTGTCCCCAGCACCCACATCAGGCAGCAACTCACAACTACCTATAACTCCAGTTTCAGGGGATCTGACACCCTCTGGCCTCTGTGGGCACTTGCATGCACATGACACATAAATTTATGCAGGTAACACATATATACACATAAAAATTAAATTAGGGCTGGAGAGGTGACTCAATGGTTAAGAGCATGTGCTTGCTGTTCTTGCAGAGAACCTGAGTTCAGTTCTCAGCACCCATATCAGGCAGCTCACAACCACCTGCCATTCCATCTCCAGGGGCTCTGACACCCTCTTCTGGCCTCTGAGGACACCCTTACACAAGTGGCATACACAGATACACATAATGAGAAAAAAAATGAATCTTTTCTTCTTTTTTTTTTTGAGACAGGGTCTCCTTATGCAGCCCTGAGTGGGCTGGAACTCACAGAGATCCACCTGCCTCTGCTTCTGCCTTCTGAGTACTGGGATTAAAGGAATGGGCCACCATGCCCAACATAAAATAAGTCATAAAAATTAATTTTTTTACTTATTATTATGTGCACACACATGCCCACGTGCCACAGGACATGTGGTGCGCACAGGACAACTTTTGGGGGTTGATTATGTCCTTTCACCATGGGATCAAACTCAGGTTGTTAGGCTCAGTAAGCACTTTGTTAAGCTCAGTAAGCACTTTGTTAAGCTCAGTAAGCACTTTGTTAGGCTCAGTAAGCACTTTGTTAGGCTCAGTAAGCACTTTCTCCTATTGAGCCACCTTGACAGTCTGTGGCTATTTCTTAAACAATCTGAAGCATGTTTTGTTTTCTCTTTTAAAAAATTTACTTATTATTGTGTGTACAGAATGTGTACATGTACGTGTGTGTGTGTGTGTGTGTGTGTGTGTGTGTGTGTGTGTCTGTGCATCTGTGCCACAGCACCTATGTGGAGGTCAGAGGACAACTTTGTGAAATTGGTTCTCTCCTGCTACATTTACACGAGTTCTGGGGACTGAACTTTTGCCCATATTTCTCCCACTTGTTTCTTCTTCCCTGGCTTTCAGGCTTCTCAGGTTTCCCTCCTCTAGCCATCTCTACTGCGTATGTCCTTCCCCTCATGGCCTTTAGACTTGTTTGCACTTTTCCCTTGAGGTTATTCACAACCTCTTGGTTTACAAGCCTGGTAAATGCCTTTCTGTCAGGGTCCTATCTGATTATTCAGCAGCTCCCCACGACCCTTCCCAGCTGTGGCATCCACAGTCCCTGGGTGGGGGGCTTCTCTACCTTTTTGGTAGCTCCTAAGCTGGCTTTGTGGAGTTTCATTCTAACCCTTTTCTCTCCTTTCTGTTGATAAAAACAATCCTGTAACTGTATTTATGTAATGGCTGCCTCAGTATCTCCCTGAGATTTGCCTCCTGTGCTTTAAGATGATGTGGCCAGATGACTGTTTTTCACTAGACAGAGCAGGGTGGATGCTGGGGCCAAGTACAGTGCCTGGCAGATTCAGGCACTCTGCAAGTGAGACATGTACATACATCTCAGGAAACTCCAGAGGGTGACTCACAGAGGTTTAAGTTACTGGGCCCAGAGAAAATTAAAGAGACCTTCTATAACCCACCCCCTCATTATACTGACAAGGAAACTGAGGCCTGGAAGGGTTAAATGACTTGTCTTCTGTCACACCACATAAACTTAATAGTACACATACATACAGCTTACATAGGAAAGGGCACTTTTCGGCAGCCCCTCCCAAGGCACAGTAGGAGTAAATGACAGGAAGGTAATGTGGGCATGGTGTAGCCCCCAAAATGTGAACTCGAACACAAATTTAAAGGCACAATGCTCTATGCAAATCTTACTCGATTGTTGTCTGATCCAACACACCAGTGACGGGGATTCCATAGAACTGCTGCATAGTGGAGACCGCTGACTGCAAGGCTTTCCCTGAATGCAACGCAGATGCCCGTGACTCATAGGGAAGCAAATAGCCATATGATTTTAACCAGTTCTGAAATACACATGAAAGAAATGGATACATTATGCTGGAGAAGGAGCCCTTTTAACCCAGAAAGATTTACCCTCAAAACCAGGCATCACACAGGTGACTTTTGGGCACATGCTCTTTCTTCCTCCTTCAGTCCACCCTTTGGACATTGTCAAATTGATCCCCAGAAAACACAGCTCTGATTGGCTCATTTCCCTTCTGTCAAGCTTTGGTTGGATTTCTACTGGCTACAGAATGAAGCTAACTTTATATACAAAGCTTTCCCCTGTGCTGAAGAGCTGGCCCAGCAGTTAAGAGCATTGGCTGCTCTTACAGAGGACCCAGGTTCAGTTCCTAGTACCAATAGGACAGCTAATAACCATCTGTAACTCTAGTTCCAGGGGATCTGATGTCCTCTTCTGGCCTCTGTGGCTATTTCATGCGTGGGTGCACTTATATACAAACAGGCAAAACACTCATAAACATGAAATCAAAATAAATATTTTAAGAAACCTAATATGCAAGAGCATAGGAATAGTTAATTCACTGAGGTAGAACAGCCTGTGGAACAGCCTTTAAAGGTAGAGTCCTTTAGACTCTAGGAATCTGTTGTGTCTAAAGTCAGAATATGATGAAAAATCAGGTTGCACATTATCAACTGGAAGGAGAGTATCTACAGTCTTCACTGCTAACCACTCCAAGCAGTACACTATAGAGAACTACAAATAAGCAAAATAATGTATTCCTTAAATATAAATAATAAAGGTGTTGAAAAATCTATTATGTAAGGTAATTCCTTGCCTTTTGGAAATACCTACTGAAGACTTACATAAGGGTATGTGGTATCCGCAACTGGTGCTTAATGGGTTCAGAAATAAATACATAAATATATATATTCTGAGAGAGAAAAAGAGAAAGCTAGGTAAAGCAAACATAGTAAAAGGTTAGCAACTGGGGAATCCATGGAAATTCTTTGCCCCAGTCCTGTAAACTTTTCTGAAAGTCTGAAATTATATCAACAATTGTGGTGTATGTGTGTGTGTGTGTGTGTGTGTGTGTGTGTGTGTGTACACAAATGCACTGGAGATTGAACTTAGGGCCTCTTGTATGCTAAGCTTATACTGTACTACTGATCTATAGCCCCAGCTCCTTCCAAAATTAAAAAATAAACTAGGGGCTGGAGGATGGGTCAGTGGTTAAGATCACTGGTTACTCTTGCAGAGGACCTGGGTTTGATTTCCAGCACCCACATGGTGGCTAACAAGCATGTGTAACTCCAGTTCCAGGGGAATCTGGAGCTCTCTTCTCACCTCTGAGGGCATTGCATGACACGGGTACACTTACATACACGCAGGCAATACACTCATACACATAAAATAAAAAATAAAAATAAACTGTGAATGTATTTTTGTTAACATATCACAGAGGACCTCTTTGTGCTTTTCTGTTTTCCAAGCTTTATTCATGAAGTCATTTTCTAAAAAGGGAGAAAACTGGGGTTGAGGGCGCAACTTAGTGGTTGAGCTCTTGACTACTAGCACAAGGCACTAAATTCAATCCCGAATACAACAAAGACAAGAAGGGGTGCATGTGCATGCATGCGTGCATGCATGCGTGTGCGTGTGTGTGTGTGTGTGTGTGTGTGTGTGTGTATGTGTGTGTGTGTAAAGGGAAACTGAAAGAAGTTTGGGTGAAGAAGCAAAGTAAGATAAATATGCTAATTCCACCCTCAAAGGCCAGAGGGGATGGAAACCTGAAGAGATGAGAGTACCAGGCAGTCCCTGCAGGACCCACTAGAAAATGAGTGAACATCCACGGTGTACTGAATCAGGAGCCCCTGAATGCCAGACGCATAGCCAGAAAACCCTATTCTCTGCCCATTTTCACATAGCCATCCGGGGCACTGACTGAGTGAATGAAGGAGAAGGCACCTTGGAAAATGGTATAATGTAGCCCAGGCTGGCTTTGAACTTTTGATGTAGTGGAGGATGACTTTGAACTTTCTGATCCTCCTGCCTCCAATTCCCCAGTACTGGAATTACAGGCGTATGCTACTGTGCTGGATAGCTTTAGTGTCAACTTGACACACCTGGGTTGAGGGAGCCTCAATCGGGAAATTTCGTGGCCAGGTCTGAAGGGCATCTTCTTGATGAGTGATGTGGGAGGGCCCAGCCCACTGTGGGTGGTGCCACCCCTGGGCAGGTAGGCCTGTGTTGCATAAGAAAGCAGGCTGAGCAGGGGCCAAAGAGAGCAAGCCTGTAAGCAGCATTCCTCCATGGCCTGTGCTCCAGCTCCTGCCTCCAGGTTCCTGCCCTGAGTTCCTACCTTGGGCTCCCTGATGAACTGCGACCTGGGAGATGTAAGACAAATAAACCCTTTCCTCCCCAAGTTGGTACTGGTCAGAGTGTTTTGTCACAGCAATGAAGAACAAACTAAGACAGCTACCAAGACAGGTTTTATTATGAGCTGGGGATCAAACCCAAGGCTTCATGCATTCTAAGCAAGCACTCTACCAACTAAACTACATCCTCAGCCTCTATAGATTTTGTTTCTTGTTGATAATACAAACAAGTTTCTTGTGGGTGTGTCTTTTATTATGTTAAGTCAAACCACTTTTAAAAGGCAGTCATCAGAAATGATAAATAAGCTATTCATTTTTTTCACCAAAGGTGACTATAACATCTCTATGCCTTGTGATAAAACTCATCTGACTGGTTCAAAGCAAAATTGTTAGAATAACAGTCTTGGAACATCTGCAAAAGAGCGACAACCTGACTTCGCTCACATTTGGAATCTAAAACATGCTTTCCTTTTTGGATGATGACACAGAATGGCAACGCTTGCAGTTCCTCAAGCACTGATTCTCTTTTATGCCTTTGTACATGCTTTTCTCTCTGTCGAGTATTCTTAGTTTGGCAAAAAATCTCTCATATTTTAATGTTCAATCCATAAATTACTATCTCTGGAAGACTTCCCAGGCTATTATTTTTTCTCTCCTCGGTGCTCTCGAGGCCCCCTATTATAGGTATTGTGCATCATATAATATTGGGATCTAATCACTGCATAGCAGCTTCTGCTAAATTCTAAGCTCCTCGTAGGAGGGGTCCTGTGCCCAGGACAGTGTTGTGCATACTGTAGGTGTTCATTATGTCCACTCAACAAGGATTGACCACTTACTGCATACTAGGCACTGTGCAAGGTTTTTGGGGTACATTGATGAGTAAGGAACTCACAGTCTGAAAAGTAAACCTATAATGAAAATAGAGTGCTATAAAGCAGATGTAGAGAGGATTCCATGGGAGAAAATGAGGTTGTCTTGTCCAGGGGTGGTGGGGGAGGGGACAAAGAAAAAGAGAAGCTCAAGGAAGATTCCAGGTGGAGATGAGATGTGGACTGTCTTAAAGGATCCAGCAGGTGTGAGTGGTACATTCCAAGCAGTACAAAAAAGTGACCAGAACTTTGGGTGAGGGAGACAAAAAAAAAAACAAAAAAAAAAACAAAAAAAAAATGAAGAGGTTGGAGGGGGAGAAGTGGGAGAGATGACATCTATTCACAAAGTGGGCGTGTTAATCTAGAGAGCCACTGTGGCTTGATCATGACTCAGGACCAGCCCAAAGCTCAAATACAGACAGGTAGAAATGACAGGGAAGCTGAGAAGTCGCCTACCCATCCACCTGGGTGCTTCAACATCGATTCCCAGGTTAAATCATGCCATCAGGATTTCATGCACTAAGTCCCTGCACCATATTCTCTCTAAGGAATATGGATCAGAGACCAGTCAACTCCGGCATCCTCTGCTTATCCTATCTCTGCCATTCACTTGCTCCTCTAACTTCTCTGGGAAGAAGCCTCTGAGGTTGGAACAAATGTTCCAAACCGAGACATCCCGATTCCCAAACATTCTTTTCCTGTTTGGGCTGCCAGGCTCTTCCTGGTGCCTCCAAAGCCCATTCTCTTTATACAGGTTAGCAAACTCCTACTCCTCCTTCAGGGCCTAGCTCAAATGCCAACACCTTCATTAAACTTTCCTTAACAATCTCTGGCAGAGTTGCTCCTGCAGTAAATTGGACACATTTCTCTAAATGCAGTTGCTACAACCTATCAATCATACCTGTCCATTGATTATACCTGTTTTCTCCAGCTATATTGAGTTTCTAAGGAACAGAGACTGTCATAACTTTTTGAAAATCTGCTGCAGCATTTAGCACAGTGTCAAGTTCACAAATGAACAAATGAATCAACAGTTGGTCTGGGAGGTGCTGTCTGGGTACCAAGGAAAGGATTTCTTTTCAAGGTAGGCTTGAGTCATATATGAAGGCACCAAGCATAATTCCTGATATCTAGTAGAGGTTGAGAAAAAAATTGCAGAAATCCTATCTTTTGTGGTTTGACTATCTTGCTTGATGAGGCAATAGGCTCCATTGCCTTATTTGAAAAATAAAAAAGATAAAAATTCACTAAAAGATTTTAAGCGGAATGACTTACCTGCCATCTTTTTACACCTTGACCAATTAATCAATCATCAGCCAGGCAGAAGTCTAACCTCTATAGCAGCTAACTAACTCTAAGACGTCTGACACCCTCTAAGTGCTGAAAGAGGTGTAAAACCCAGACAAAAGTGAGAAGACTCTCACAGCGCATCAGGATGGAAATAGCTGTTCGGAACCAAAGACGTAGGGATCACAGACAAAGCAGCATGATTGGTCTGAGGCGCCAGGGTGGGATTTCAGTCCCTGAGAAGCCAAAGCTGAGATGTTCGGGAGTCCTGGACCGGAAAGGAGGGAGCAGAAATAAGGAGGGGGAAAAAAACCCCACAGACCTAAGAGAGAAGAGAGCAGCAGATAGCAGATATGGTGCGAGCTTAGAAGCGGCAATGCGGGAGGAAAAGAAGATCACTGGCAATGCTGAAGAGCGCACTTGGAAAACAAAGGCGGCCCAGGGAGGAGAGGGGAGCCGGATCAATTACAACAGGTGAACTCAGGGGCATTGGAGAGCATCACAACCACACAGAACCGAAGGAGCCGGGAGGATGAGGATCAGGTGTCTGGGCAGGAGTGAAGTGGCGTGCTAGTGGTGGGGTCTACCAAGAAGGACCAGACAGTATAAGGCATCTAATTTAGAAACATGGGATG